CGGGGCTCAATCCCAGGACTCTGGGATCATGACCTGAGCTGAAGGCAGACGCTTAACGACTGAGCAACCCACGCGCCCTCCAATGTGGGGCTTTTACATAGAGTGCATCTTTAAAAGTCTCTTGTCTGGCTTTGTGGGTTTTTCCTTTCTCTTCCTTGCTTTAAATCAGCTCATTGCTTACACATTCCTGAAGATGGGATGGCTAGGGCCAGAGGATGATGCATTTTATGGCTACTCTTGCTTCCCAAAGAGCTACTCAGCAATTTCAGAGTGTCCCTGCCCTTTCCCTTCCACCCCATGGCATCGAGTGTACCATTTATTTATTGTTGCTAAGTTTAGAGAGTGTACCTCCCTTGTGTTCCCCTCATCCCCGGCAATCAGGATTGGCAAAATGTTACTCTCCTCGGTTTACAGTTGAGGGAAGAGACCAGATGGGAATGAGAAGTTTGCCAAAGAACCTTATTAAGTGCCCACAGTATGATGGGTGACATTGCATCCTGCCTGTGAGGAAACCATAGTCCAGGGAACGCTGTGGACACACAAACAGCTCACACCCTGATTCCCAGTGCTGCCACCTACCAGCGAGGCCTCAGCGAGGCCCTTACCCTCTAGAAAGTGGGCTTTTGTGAGGATGAAATAATGAGGCAGTGTGAAGGGCTTGCCACTGTGCCTGGCTTATAGTACGTGTTCTTGAGCATTCTCCCTCAAGAGAGGAGGCCAGAGGGGCACCTGGGTGGCGCAGTTGGTTAAGCGTCCGACTCTTGGTTTTGGCTCAGGTCGTGAGTTTGAGCCCCACGTCAGGCTTCCCGCTCAGCACGGAGTCTGCTTAAGTTTCTCTCTCCCTCCGCCCCTCCCCCAACTCTCTATCTCTCCCTAAAATAAATAAATTAATCTTTAAAAAAAAAAAAAAAAGGGGAGAGACTAGGCCAAAAGTGCCTGAGAGGGTAGTCAGGGGGTCACAGAGCCTCAAGGGGCAGGATCGTGGTGGGGTCTCCCTTTGCAAGCCTAAACTTGTCCGGGCACACTGAACACTAGTAAACACCTCACTGTCAATCCAGCTGGATCCAGACCTCTCCAGACCTCCTGAACGTTGACAGTGACACAGTATGTTAACCAGAGTTGGCTCCTAAGGACGACTCAGCCCCTCTGACCCAGCCTAGCCCGGCGGGGGCCTTTCAGGGAGCTTTGCAGTCAGAGTAACTTGGGTTCAAATCCCAGCTCCACCACTTAATAGCTTTGGGGCATAATCTCATTCCGAGTCTTTTTCCTCATGAGTAAGATGAGAACAGTAATTCCTATGTCGTGAGGCTGTTGTAAGACTTATATTTCAAAATATGTGTTAAATACTTTTACAGGGCTCATTGCCTTGTAGGTGTTCCATATTCAGTCATGAAGGAAGTTGTCAGAAACGGCTGAAATCCCTAGAGGGAGCAGGTCTGGGAGGAGAGGCCTTGGCCCCCTTGTTGCACAGAGCCTTTCGTTCCCAGCTGTGGCAGCGGACGACCTCGGTGGAGACATTGACACCATCCTTGGGGCTGAGTTCCTCACCTCTTCTGTATCGGCTAAACATAGGTTATTCTGCGTCCTAAGCAAATCTTTAAAATCTTTAAAAGCCAGTGATAAGGAAGAGAGGAGAAATAGCCAGGCGATTCCCCACAAAAGCCACAGAATTTCCTCCAGGGAGAACCCCACATTTGCGTTCAGAGTGATAATCCTAAGGAAGAGCTGGTGCAGAGGATCAGGCCTGGGTGTGAATGGCCTAGTGTCCTCACAGCCTGGGATGCATGGACTCCTCCCTGCACACACAGGAGATCAAAGACCAAATGAGTTAAATAATTAAACGAAGTCTAGCGTATGAACCGGATAATAAAATAGACAAGTCAAACAAAGCACATTAAAAATAATTCTCTAATTTTTCACTGGTCATTTATGATAAGCAGTATTCAGAATGAACAGGTTCTTAAACCCCACTGAATTGAACGGATTCTTTGGATGAAGCCTCTCCCTGGGTTGAGGCAGATTCTGCCTGTTGCTTCTCAGGAGCACCCGTTCTAATTTCTCACCCATCGAATGGGCGGCTTTGCCATTCTCCAGGCCGCCTGCCCCTGGCGGGTAGTGGTGTGTGGCCGGTAGTGGTGTGTGGCCGGTAGAAAACAAAGAAGTCAAAGAGTCCTGGAGAAGCTTTGTTAACGCCTTCGCAGGCACATACCTTTGGTTCACGGAGTTGAAGGCTAGAGTGCCTCTCCCTACCAGACCCCTAGGGTGCAGACCTGGAAAGGACTGTAGCCATTATCTACTCTAGTCCATCCCCTCATTCTACAGAGAGGCCCAGAGAGGTGAGCTGGCTTATTCAAGGACACACAGCTTCCAAGGGCAGGAAGTTCTATGGTCTGTACCCCACCTTGTCATCTCTTTCCTCCAGTGTTTTATTCCTTGCTCCTCCTCTGACGTCTGAGCGTTGCCATCTGCCCCCCCCCCCACTTCCTCCCTCCTGTCCCCTGTTGCCCACAGTGTTTGTCCCGGCAGGTCGTTTAGGAAGACTCCGATTCCCTGAGCGACCCTGCCCACCCCCGTGTCTTCTCTGACCCAGGGTGCAGGCTACCTTCGGTGCCATGGCCTTTTCATCAAGGTTCGCCTTCTGGGAGCAAAAGGAAAGTTGGGTCTCAAAATCCTTGTGCTTTTCCTATGTGCTTGGCATGATGTGTGCAGGCAGGAGTCTGGCCTCTGGGCAAGGGAGCTCTGGGAGCTAGAGATGGACTGGCGCATGTGTGTGTATTGGGGGGCTGGGGAGAATGACCGGGGGCCATTAACTCACTCTTCTCTCTGGATGGGCTTCTGCGCTGAGTCATGCTCTTCCTCTGAGCTCCATGCGTCTGGTAAGCTGAGCTGCCTTTTGTCCCACTGGTGCCCCTCCAAGTTAACCCCTCCACACCCTTCCCTCCCCACTGCTGCTCTGATTCACCCTTGGGAACTTGGGCTGCTGTGGGGGCGCCGCTGGGAATGGCTTTGGCTCTGAGGCCTCTGGAACTGGGTCTCCCCGCATCTGGACCATGGTGGGTAGAAGGACAGGAGCCAAGAGTCAGGAGCCAGGCCAGCTGGCTGCCTGGGTTCCAGATCGTGATTCAGGCTCCCGCCCTGGGCATGCCTTTATGCGGTGCACAGTCCCCAGCTGGGCAATGACCTATGACAGACAGAGCCCTTGGTTGGTGGGGGGGAAGCGGGGGGGTGGCAGTGAGTCAGCCTCAGGCTAAATCCAGAGCTGAGCTCAGAGCAGGGCTTGGTGTCCCAGACATCTCGGGGGGCAGCCAGCGCTGCCCCCAGGGCTTCACCACTTGGGCAGGACGCTTGGGGTCCCCAGCTTGCATCCCTGGAGGGAGGACTGAATTGGAGCTGGTGAGGGATGCGGAATGGACTTGGAATCTGGGCCATCCCTGAACCTGAGCTAACAGCACTGTGTGCAGTAATGAGCAAGTCTGTGTGGTTTGTGAGACACTTGATGGTCTCTGACCTGTGTGCTCAGGAGCTAATGCATGGTGTGATCTTTGGGGGCGTGGGGGGGGGGTTGAGTGATGGGCACTAGGCACAGACCTAGACTCTGCCACTCCCCCTCATTCCCTCTCCACCAGCCCCTCCCTTCCCTTTATCTGCTCCAATCCCAATTTCTAAAGTAGCAGAGCCTGCTCTAAGGAATAATTGCCATTTTCCCTCTGTCCATAACAGTGTGAACTAACTTTGAAGCTTCGGCCCGTTGAAAATAGCTCTATAGACAAGATGCAGCTTTAAAACTTCAGCGGCCATCCTGCTGGTCAATGTCCTAGGCGCTGCTAATCAGAGCTCAAAAGTAGCCAGGGACCCTGGTTACAAATGGAGAGTTGTTCCCCTCCTCTCCCTGTCCCCCGCCCTCTGCCAGGTGGATAATTAACGTGATTCTGGACGAGTTTCTAAGGATCTTTTCCATTAGGAATCAAGGACTCCTTCCAGTGTACCCACCCCCACCTACCCACACCTACCCCCACTGTGCCCAGAAAGAAAGGCACCGACCTGCCTTTTTCCCATCGTCCCATGTGACTGGGGAAAGAAGAGAAACGAAATCCACTAGGACTGTCTGAGCTTTTGGAGGGAGGGATGCTAACGAGGGGCAGGCAGAGGGTTCATTCAGACTGAGGGCTGGCTCCTTGAGGTCTGTTCTGAGCCAGTCTCAGAACTGAAGGAACCTTCAGAGCATCCACATTGTCTGTTCTTTTTCCAGATACATTATGGTGGCTGCTGGTTTCCCAACTCTGCCTCTCCCGTCTGACGTAGGCCAGCTAGAGCATAGGCCGAGCATAGCCAGAGCTCAGGCATCCTTCCTTCCTCTACACGGTGCCCCTAACCTTGGGGTTCCCTCCCTCAGCTGCATGGTTGGCAGTGTTGTGGGTCTGAGCTTGGGAAAATGTCTGGCCTCCTGAATCCCTTTGCCCCTGCCCCATTTCCTGCCTCCAGATGGCGCTCAGCTGTCTGGCTGGGAAGGCATCCAGGCTCTGGGCTGGGGGGAGTCACAGGGACCTAGATGCAAGTTGGAGCCACCTGGTAGGAGTCACCTCCCAGCAGGGCTCCCACGCTGGGGTCATTCCCTCCTCCTTAGTCACTAGGTTAGGGGACTCTTTTTCAGACACTCCTCGTCGGAGCCAGGAATGACTCTTGTCATTTAGCATGAGTTGAGTTATCTGGATCTTTCTGTCCACCCTGTAACCGAGGCCATGATGGCAATCTCTTAAAACAGTCCATGTGAGACGCGTGACTGGTGACTGAGGCCAGGGTTTCCCCACTCTGTGGAGTCTATTCATTCTTGAAATTGTCCCTGGACGGTTTTGACTCCACGTCCTTCGCCCCAGTAGTCCTGAACATGCGGGAACTCTGCCTCCTAGGGAGGGAGGGCCCCTTGGAGGTTTTCTTCCTGTGCTTTTGATGCTGAGTTTCCTGCCCGGACCTGCCAGTGACCTCTTTGTCTGCTCCCGCAGGTTAAAGAGGAAGACAAAACTCTGCCGAAGCTTGGCCCTCCTGGCAAGGAGGAAGGGGCTGTAAGTGCTTCTCTGAGCCCCCCGTGTGTGTGCCCGGGTGGGTGTGCCCACCTGCCCTCACCTAGTCCGTGAGGCGGGTCCCCAGAGCAGGCAGGCCCAGCGGGGTGCCCCTTCCTGTCTGGGGTGGCCCGAGGGAATGCGACTGATGAGGCAGAAAGTGCAGTCCGTGGGATGCCAACTTGGGGTGCGCGGAGGAGATGGGGATCCCGAGGCGCTTCGGAGACCTCCTCCGACCCCCCTCTCTTTAGTTTTTACCTTTAGGTCTTGCTTCCTGAACCCTTGAGGGGCCGGAGAGGCCTAGGTGGGCAGACCCTGAGCTCGGGGAGCACCAGATGAGAGCTCAGCTGTTGGGACTCTTCGTCCTGCTCTGGGTGGCACAAGACCAGCGCGGGGAGGGATTTCACTGCAGCTGTTCGGTCTCTTCCCGAGACCTCGTCAGCTGCTCAGTGCGGGTGACCCGGAGGCGGGCTCCAGCTGCCCGGGGTGGGGGGGCCCAGCTTCTCCCCCAGGTCATTCGGCCTTGAGATAGGGACCCTGAGCAAAGCTGGACTCATTTCAGGCAAGAGAGGGGAGGCACTTCCAGAATAGCCAGGTCTAAAGATGGGGAGGACTGCAGTTGGCACAGGGGGTGGAAGTGCCATGCTTCGTGACCCCGGATGGTGCCTGTCCCAGCTCCCCCACTTCCTTGGATGGAGTTTCCATCAGCCAGACACTGTGGCTTCCACCTGATCTGTAGTTAACCCTGCAAGGCGAGCTTGTGATTTCAAAGGGGAAGTGTTTGAGATGTGTGTGGGGGAGGGGCCTCGGGGTATCCAGACAGTCTGTGAAAAATCACACGGGAGGTGCCTAGAGGACTTCCTGGCACACAGTGAACACTGTACGAGTGTCAGCGGTTGCCATCATCATCGCCACCACCTTCAGCTGGGGGGGGATGGGAGGAAAGCCAGGAGGGGGAGGGGGAGGGGCAGGAGCCGGCAGCTGGGGCCACTAGCCAGCCCCACAGTGCCCTGGCATGCCATGGAGCACTCTTGGTCCAAGAGGTTGAGGAAGAGGCACCTTCAAACTCCCCTCTCCCCACCCCCGCAGCAGGGCCACCCGCAGCGAGGTGACTTGGCTCCGCTCCGCAGCCTCTCCCTGTGGTAGCCAGGGGTCTGTCCCCTCGGAGCGTCTTCCTGCGTCCAAGCAGAGATGGTAGCCAGCCTTGCAGGGCCCAGAGCCCAGGTGCACTCTGGAACCAAGGTCTTTGTTTTGGGGAACGGGGACTCACGCATGGCTCCTGAGTGGCAGGGCATTGCCTGACCAGCATGGAGCCCCCCCGGGGTTGACCTTGCTTACCCAGGCAATGTGGCTGGCTTTGCAGGACTGCCCTGCTATTAGCCAGCCTGGCTTTCCCCAGTGGCTGTCCCTTGGGACCACAGACAGTTGCCACCAGTGTTGGGGGAAGGGTGGGTGCCTCAGGCAAAGTGTGCCAGTATACTCCAGTCAGGTGCCCAGAGGCTGGGAGGCTGGCTGAGCCAGGGCCCAGCTCTAGGGCAGAGTGAATCGGCGGTCACTTCAGTGCTTAACCCTCCGTGGGCCCCAGCTGCCTCCTCTTTGTCCTATCATTCTGTACACATACTCTGGGAGCTGGGAGGCCTCCAGCCCTGGAGAGGTTTGCAGGAGGAAGACTGCAGACAGCACTCTGAGCTGAAAGCTTCCTGGGCCCGCACTGGTCTTCGTAGCCCCTGAGAGTGTGGGTGAGGGGTAGACAATGGCCACAAACCAGAGGAGCAGGAGAGACGAAGCTTGGCACATCTTGGGCCCAGGAATTGCTCCCTGACCACTGTTCTTGCTGGGATGGGTAGGTTTGGGGTCTGACTGCCCAGAAAGCACAGTGATAGACCGGGGACCACAGAGGCAGGAAACCCCAGAATGAGGCCTAGGATTGATGGCAGGAATTGGTGGTTTGGCCTCTCCGTGCTCCCTCTCTGCTGTGTTTGGGCTCACCTGGGTTGGGCCTTGGTTGCTGCCCTGACGTAGACCAGTGACTCTGGGACATCTCAGGGGGCCTCTGGGCACTCTGGGCTGGCATCTCACGGCCCTGTGCTAAGGCTGGGGATAGACCGCAGGTGACAGCAGTACCTGCTTGTGCTTTGTGGGAGAGAGAAGCCAAACTTGTAGATGCAGTTGTCCTATCTGGAAGATGGACTGAGGGCTTCCTGGGGTAACCTCTTGGAGCTCTGGATGAATGGAAGGTCTATTCCAGGGCAAGGCGTGAAGTCACACCTCTCACTTCCTCTGCACGGGGAGGGCAGGGACGCAAGGGCTGATGCTAATGTCTGCCTGTATTTGTGTGACTACAGCCAGAAGGCAGCTCAAAGGACAGCAGTGGCCCATCTAGGAGTCCTCAGCCTCCCACCAGCCCTCTACCCTCAGAGACCTCCCAGAGAGCCACGAGCCCTGCACCCACACTCGCCATGAATGGCCCGGGGGCTGCCGCCGCAGAAGGCCCAAGCGAGGAGGCCCCGGGCCTGTCCCGGAAGAAAGTGGCAAATGCAGTTAGGAAGGTGGTGAGCAAGGTGCTGCCTGGTGAGGAGCCTGGGAGTGCCAAGGAGCCTTTGAGCAGAGGGGTCAGATCCCCCGAGCACCCAGCTCGAGGGAAGAGGGGAGAAAAGGCGGCTCCTGGTCCCAAGCCACCACCTCCTCCGCCTCCTCCGCCTCCCCCTGCCCCACCTAAGCCTGAAGCAAAGAAGGAGGCAGCCAAGGACGAGCTCTCTGTTGGTCTACGGAGCCTGATGTCTCGGGGCAGGGGCAAGGACCACAAGCCCCGTGGCAGGCAGTCTCTGGGGAAGGGGAAGCCCTCCAGCCAGGAGCCAGGCTCCTCAGGGAAGCCAGGCTCCCCAGCCAAACCTGAAATCCCAGAAAAGCAGTGCTCCCCAGCCCCACCAGGAGAGCTGGCGGCCCTAGGCTCCACTGGCCCGAAGTCGAACCTCCCTGGATTGCAGCAGTCCAAGTCACCGGCCCCTGATGTGCAGCAGGAGGTACCCGAGTGTGTCACTAACCTCCCATGCCCCTGACCACCCTCGCAGCCGGCTTCCCCATGCCTCGTCAACATGTCCGCACAGCTGAGACGCTGGGCCGATGGTGGGGCTGCATGGCCTTCCTCAACCGAGTGCCGGAGCCCGTGGCGGCCTCTGCTCTGGGATGGGCCCCGCTAACCAGCATGCCGCTGTTCCTCGACACTCTTGAGTGGGGTGGGGGCCTGTTTCCAGGCTGCATGGTGTTGGCTGGAGGCTCCGGATCCCAAGCAGAGATTCAGATCAGCGCTAGGGTAGAAAGAGAATTTCTGGAGCTGGGTGACCCGTGTTCACCTCCCCAGCCACTCACCCTGTGTGGGATCTCAGCAAGGTCCCATCACTGAGCCTTCATCTGCCAAGTGGGGACAGGACAGGTCTCCAGTCCCTTCTCTGAAGCCCTTGGGGCCGGAAGTGTTTTGGAAGCTAGTGATTTTTGTATTTTAGAAAGTCCTACATGATGAGCAGCAACCTGTAACCAAGCATAAATATTTTCACAGCAAAATCAATGACTGTTCACATGGCAGGGGGATAGACTACAAACAGGTTTTGCCACCAAAATAGTTAAGAAAAAAGCCTTTTGTTTGGGGGAGATTTGGGATTTGGGAATCGCAAACAAGGGCTAATCCCAGCTTTGAAGAGTTGCTGTGATGATGAGGAATGTTATCCGCTCTGAGCCCAGTCGCTGGCATGGTGGGTGCTCCACAAACGGTAGCATGGATAGTGATGCTAATAACAGTAGTTTTAATGCCATCATTGCCATCACTACCTTCTTCAAGCCTGGCCAGCAGTTCCCTCTGGCAGCAGGACTCTTGAGAAGCCCTATGCCTGGGTGGCAAATGGGCACAGTGGGCCCCCTTTGGATCTGAGGCCCCATCTGTCCACGAAGTACCCTCTAGGTGGGACAGGAGGCTGAGAGGCAGAGGGGAGGACCTTGGAAGGTGATGCCTACATGGCTGGTCCTTTGGTCAGGGACAGTTCTTCAAACTTCCCCATTTTGTGGAGCCTTCTGAGGCCTATGAGGTTTGGCAGGGGAGGAGTCAAGTTTTACCACTGTTTCTCCCAGGATGTTGCATGCTCTTCTGGCTGGAAGGGCGGGGTAGGGGGTGGGGCATAGGGCACAGCCTAAAGGCCCTCCCTGACTTCTACCTCCTGGAATTCCTAAGGTCCCAGAACCTGCCTCGTTCCCTACTCCATTCTTCCTGGGTTTTGCAGAACTTAGAGAAGAGCAGGCTGCAGCTTCCCGGCCCTGCTGGCCTGCTCTGAATCAGGGAAGTCACTTCCTGGCACCCAGGAGTTGGCAGGGGCATTTTGGCCTGACTGGCAGGCCATGAGGGAAACTCAGCCCCTGACTAGAACCTATAAGTAGCCAGAGAGTGTCATGTGCCTGTTCCCGGGCCTTGCTGCCCTCCCTCTGTCTCCCTGTCCCTCTCACCAGGGTGGAATTGGGGGCTGAGATGTGCCCTGACCTGGAGTTCACCCACCTGTCACCTGGGCCTGGGGCAGGGGCCATGTGGGGACATAGGGCCATCCCAGTGCTGAAGTGGTTAGGACTGTGAGAAGGAAAAACCCCAGAATTTTCAGGCACCCATTCTTTTTTTCTCATCCAATAGTTTAAAAACTCATGTTGATGCCTGGCTTGCCTCCCTGACCCTACTCCACTTGCCCACTGGTTCCCAGCGGCTTCCTAGGCTAGAAACTTGGCATGCTGCACCCCACTCCCCCCAACCCCAGGCCAGGACTAACGGTAGTTTAACCTCTAGGCAGGAGCTGCCCCTGAGGTCCGGGTGACCCCCGCAGAGGAGGCCCAGCAGCGCCTTGAGAGGATCTTCACAGCTTCTGTAATGCCACCTCTCATGTATGGTTCCCCAGGCCCTGGCGCTCCTCCTTGCCGAGGCTGGCAGCCAGACTGTGGGTGTCGGGGCGGGCAGGGGGAGCATCTGACTATGGAAGAATGACTCCATGGCAGCCTGGGGGCCTTCACGTGGCCTTCTCACCTGAAGGAATAAGAGAAGAGCTCTCTAGAGGGTCTGAGCTGTGAGGCCTGTTCCTCCAGGCGACCCAGAGCCCTGCGCCCATGGGAGGGGACCCCTCTTGGCTGAGGATCCAGCCCCCTTTTCTGGCCCTGGAGGACATGGCTTGGTGCCAGGGCCTGGTGGGTGGTGAGGCGGGAGCTCACTCTCCCCTCTTTCAGTGCACTGGCTCTCCAGACCCAAAGGGGCCTGTTAACTCCTTATAGACAAGGTCCAAGGCCTGGCTGACTCCACTTCCTCTTCAGAAAGGTCTTTAAGTAATCAGACAGAGACAGGTCAAGTCTGGCCGCAGGGTCTGCCCTCAGTCCCTTGGTTCGTGGGCAGGTGGCTGGTGGACCCAGTGGCGTGGAGCCTCTGCCCGCCACAGGGGGCGGTGTGCCTGTCTGCGACCGGTGCAGGGCGCAGTGGGGGGATTGAAGAAGGGGTCAGCAGCTTGGGGCTGCTAGTGGTCTTGTTCTGAGACTTGCTCTATGGTGTCATTCTCTGCAGGGGCAGCAGCTCCAAAGGACAGCCCTTGTTACTGGGGGTGGCATCTTTATGTGTGTTTAGAGGCCAGGGACAGCCCCGTTCTGGGGTCCGCTGGCCATAGGGGAGTCAGGCTGACCACTGCCCTGAAGATAAGGCCCAGAGCCACCCAAGGGGCACAGGCCCTGAGTGTGGGGAGGTGGCCTGGCCTGGCCAGCTCATAGAAGAGCCTAGTTCAGGATGCACTGGATGTCCCACCCAGGAGAGACTGTGGCCAGAGGCAGAGTGGCATACTCCTGCCCAGGCCACAGTGAATGACTTAGCAGAATGTCTTCTCCGAGATGTCTCGTAACAGGTGTCTCTTCGCCAAGCTGGGCCTCTCCTTCCGGGTCTGGCGTCTCCTTCCTGGACTGGGCACAGTTCACCTGCCCAGGCCAGCTTCCCATCCTGGCACTTGCGTCTTTCCATCCTCCACCCTGCACCCTGGGCAGCCAGAGAGTACCCACCCACTTGGCCTAGGGTGCTTGCTGAAGGGGACATGCCAACGGTCTGCTTGTCTTCACCCCTCTTTCTCTCTCTCTCTTCTTTGCTTGCTACTGACAGCTGGACCCTGAGACCGCCTCTCCTGCCCACAGCCAGGTAGGGTGCTCCTGCCCCCCTCAGGAGCCCTCCGCTTCCTCCAGCGACCACCCGCCACCCCTGGGCCGTACCTGGGCTGGCGTCTGTGCTCGGGCCTCGTGCTGGAGTGTAAGGCCTCTTTCCCCTTCTGGCTCCCACCCGGTGTCTGGGGGTGGGGGGATCCTTGGAAGAGGCAGTGCCAGAAGTTTGAGATGGGGCAGTTCTGTGTCAGGCCCTTGGGGAGGGTCCAGACGGGGTGTCACCACTTGAGTCTGGCCTTGTGGTACATGGTTTTTAACCACTGGAGCCCAAGAGCCGGGCAAGAGTCCTGGTTTCTAGGGGTTTCAATTCTGCTCACGCTGGGTAGAGAAAGACGAAAGGCTGAGCCCCTCCCACCTCCCACCCTCATGCCCAAGCCTGAAGATGTGGCATTCTCTGGCTCCACCTGCTGGCCAGTATGGGAAACCTATCTTTGAATTCATTCTAAAGGATTAATTCTAGGCCACGACCCCCTTTTTTTTTTTTTTAAGTTTTTTTTTTTTTTTTTATTTTTATTATGTTATGTTAGTCACCATACAATACATCATTGGTTTTTGATGTGGTGATCCACGATCCATTGTTTTCGTATAACACCCAGTACTCCATGCAGTACGTGCCCTCCTTAATTAATACCCATCACTGGGCTAACCAATCCCCCCTCCCTTCTCCCCTCTAAAACCCTGTTTGTTTCTCAGAGTCCATAGTCTCTCATGGTTTATCTCTCCCTCCAATTCCCTCCCCCCATTTTTCCCTTCCTTCTCCTAATGTCCTTCATGCTATTCCTTATGTTCCACAAATAAGTGAAACCATATGATAATTGACTTTCTCTGCTTGACTTATTTCATTTAGCATAATCTCCTCCAGTTCCATCCATGTTGATGTAAAAGTTGGGTATTCATCCTTTCTGATGGCTGAGTAATATTCCATTGTATATATGGACCACATCTTCTTTATCCATTCATCTGTTGAAGGGCATCTCGGCTCTTTCCACAGTTTGGCTATTGAGGACATTGCTGCTATGAACATTGGGGTGCATATTAGGCCACGACCCTTTGATGTCCCCTAGTTGTTAGGTTCCAAACACTTGACCCATAAAACGTGTTTTCACTTGTATCATGTGATTTGGGAAAAAAAATAAAACATTGTGATTTTTTTTACAAAGTTACATTTCTTCAACTAACAAAGAATTAGCCTTTTTTTTTTTTTTTGTAAATGTTTTCATTGAACAATTTAAAATGTTGCCGGCCCCGTAGCAATCATCCTGTGTGAAGGGTGGTTTCACTGGGCATGCTTCCCAGAGCCTGTGTAGTCCAGGCTTCTCTCTCGAACGGGAAAGGACCATCAGCAAGGAAGAGGGAGTTATCTGAAGCCCGGATCCAACCTGGGAGTAGAACCCAGATCTCTTTTTCTTTCAGCTCCAAGAAATGTGACAAAGAAAAGACTTATGTCTCCTTGTCCTTCCCAGTCCCTCACCCAGGGGGTCGGTGACACAAAGCAGTTGTCTGCGCCTCAGCCTCAGGTCTCCTCTCAGAGACTGACTGTGGCTTAAGCTGCTCCAGTACCCATCCGCGTGGCAGGCAGGCCTTTCCCGTGTCCTTCCCTGCACCCCCCCCCCCCCCCCCGCCACGTGTCTGACCATGCTGTTTCATGCCCTTGCATGGCCTTCGCCTGTCCTCCTGAGGAGGCGGGAAGGAGGAGTGGAAAGAAGGCCAGGCCAAGGCTAGGACTCAGGACCTGCAGATCATGTTGCAGTACGGAGTCCTCCGTAGACACTTCTCTCCTCAGGTCTTGAGGAAGCGCCCTTTGCCAGCTGGGTGAAGGAGGGCCTGTTAGTCGGCTGAAGGCAGAAGCTGGGCATGAGAGGTCACAGTAGCAGCGGGTGGGGGCCCAGGGGGCGGTGTGCGGGCTCAGGACACCGACCCTACAGGCCCCACGGGGAGGTGGGGAAGAGGGTGGCTGAAGGTGGAACCTGGTTTGCTTTCTTGTGGTCTGTTCTCTTCTGGGCTCGAGTTCTGAGTGTCCCCGTCCTTCCAGACCCTCAAGGCTGGCGTGGTCCCTAACTCTGTGTCCTCGTCCTCAGGGCTCCTCAGGATCACCCCCATCCCCTGGCTTCCCCACCTTCTTCCTGTGACGCCTCCGATGTCCCCTGTTCTGTATCTGCCCCCCAACTGTCCCCCTTACCCAGGGACTCATCTGGAAGCGCTTCCCCTCACATGTCTCCTCTCTCCTGCTCTCCTGACTCAGTGTTTCCCAGAACAAGGACTGGCTCTTTATTTCCCCCCTCCCTCTGATAGGTGAAGACAGAAGAGCAGATTGCAGTGGAGGAGGCCTGGTATGAGACAGAGAAGGTGTGGCTGGTCCATAAGGATGGCTTCTCACTGGGTGAGTCTGGGGAGGCCCAGGGGACAGATGTCTGGGCCTCTCAGTTTTCGGGGCTGGGTGTGCCTTCTGGGTCCGGTGAGGCCTGGGTGGTGGGTGAGGAGAGCCCAGGGATATAGTGGGGAGGAGGCAAGACCACAAAGGGCCCGAAGAGGGTGGCAAAGGTTCCCAGGCCTGGGTCTGACTGTCTGTCCCCGCTCTGTAGGCAGTCAGCTCAAATCTGAGGAGCTCAGCTTGCCCGAAGGGAAGGTGCGCGTGAAGCTAGACCACGATGGCGCCATCTTGGACGTGGATGAGGATGATGTGGAGAAGGTTTGCAGGGGGCAGGCACAGGAAGTGGGCTGGGCAGGGCAGGCCTGTCCACTGGCGGTGCAGACAGATTCTGCTTCTTCAGTGCCTGCCCGCCTGTCCTATCACGCAGGCTAACGCTCCGTCCTGCGACCGTCTAGAAGATCTGGCTTCGCTGGTGTACCTCAGTGAGTCCAGCGTCCTCCACACACTGCGCCAACGCTATGGCGCTAGCCTGCTGCACACGTACGCTGGCCCCAGCCTGCTCGTCCTCAGCCCCCGGGGGGCCCCCGCTGTGTACTCCGAGAAGGTGCGGCGACCCCGAGGCTACCATGCTGCCTCACGGACCCACCCATGTGCTACCCACCCCGCCTTCCCTGGCTCCGCCCCTCCCCCTTGGCATCCCACTGGGCTCCTGTCCACTCCCACAGCTGACCTGGGGAAGAGGAGTCATTTCGGTGGGGGGGACATGAGGCCCTCCCCCTAACCTCTAGCAGAGGCCAGGACTGGGCTAGAATCTACATTTCCATGCACGGCCTTAGCCTCAGAATCCCTCGGCCCCCCCTGCAGTGAAAGGCCCAGAAAGGTGGGCCTTGGGAGTAAGCGGTGACCGAGTGGGACCAGCTAAGAGCCTTACCCCTTCCCTCCGTCCCCCTCCCACCCAAGGTGATGCACATGTTCAAGGGGTGTCGGCGGGAGGACATGGCACCCCACATCTACGCCGTGGCCCAGACCGCGTACAGGGCAATGCTGATGAGCCGCCAGGACCAGTCTGTCATCCTCCTGGGCAGCAGCGGCAGCGGCAAGACCACCAGCTGCCAGCACCTGGTGCAGTACCTGGCCACCATCGCGGGCACCAGCGGGAACAAGGTGTTTTCCGGTGAGACAGGACACCTGGAAAACCTGAGCGGGGTGGGGATGGAAGCGCCTCGTAGGTGCCATCCTTTCCCCCCTGGTTTCTCTGTGTCCTCAAAACCCCTCTGTCCCCGGGCAGTCTGGCCGGTGTAACTCCGAGCCTCTGCGTGCTGGGGGCATAGGCCTGAGCTGGGCGTCTGGAGGCTTTCCTGATGGCCCCCGGGCATGTCTCCTGCAGTGGAGAAGTGGCAGGCTCTGTACAGCCTTCTGGAAGCCTTTGGGAACAGCCCCACCATCATGAACGGCAACGCCACCCGCTTCTCTCAGATCCTCTCCCTGGACTTCGACCAAGCTGGCCAGGTGGCCTCGGCCTCCATCCAGGTGAGGGACCTCCAGGGTGGTAAGAGACTGGCTGCCTGGATTCAGGCCCTAGAAACCAGGCTCTCTCCTGCGCCTCATTTTCCTGGGATTCTACCCCAACAAAATGGACCCTGGCTCTAGCAGGGCTGGTTTGCTCCACTCCAGGCCTCCACCCTTCTGGCCCCTCCACCCGTGTCTTCTGTCCCCCAAGCCTTCTGCCTCCTGCCCTGGGTGGAGCATGGCTCAGCTTCCTGCCCACCCTTGGGGCTCACCACACCCTACTTCTGGGGCCCTGGCCCTGTGTGCGGGGGCTTCTCGCAGGCTAATTTCACCCAGGTTAAGACTGGCTTGTCAGTCAAGGAAGATCCAGCTGAGGCTGATCCCCTTCCAGGCTAAATGAAACATCTCACCACGAAGTGCCCAGCCAGCTCCCTGAGAAGACTGTGCCGGGGCCTGGGCAGGGCAGCAGGGCCCCTCCAGGAGCTGGGCCTGTCTTCTTCCGCCTGGGTCTGGTTTCTGCCCTGGGTTTGACCCTGGGGGGAGCTGGCCGCTTGTTTACAGGCCCCCCCCCCCCCCCGCCGTTCTTTCTGGCGTGGGGGGGGTGGAGCTTGACCCAGCCCCACCCTCTTTGCCCATACCCTCCCGTGCTATGCTGTAGACGATGCTTCTGGAGAAGCTGCGTGTGGCTCGACGCCCAGCGGGTGAGGCCACGTTCAATGTCTTCTACTACCTGCTGGCCTGTGGGGATGGCACCCTCAGGTGAGATGGGCCAAGGAAACTGGAGCGGGGGGGGTTGCTCTGGACTCCAGCTCACTGATGGCTCCTGGATCTTGTCACCTGGTTGCATCCTATCCCGTGTGTTTATTGTATGCTTGCCACATATGAGGCCCGAGGTAACAGGACGGTGAGCCAAATGAGCCACAGGCTCTACCCCACGGGAGCTCCTGAGCCCTGGGCACAGAATTGACCCTCCAGTGTTCCTGGGGCCTCGCTAGAACCTCTGCTACCCCCGAAACCAGATCTGCAGAGGGGATAGCACAGCAAGATGCGGGTGGCCAGGGACCTGCCTGTAGTCACACGGCTAGTGTGGGGCTGAGCAGTTATTGGGCCTTTTCCAGCGCCCTCCAGGCTGGCCCTCCCTGCCCCCTAGGTTGGTTCGTCTGCCCGCCTCTTCCCTTTAGTTCTTCAGACTTGCTGTCTTTGTTCTGCGGAAAAAAGACAAATGATAAGGCTGAGCAAGCAGCCCCGGGACATTTTCCTCCTTAGCTCTTCTGGTCACTGAGGGCACGGACTCTGTCCTGGCTGGACTCGCGCTGCAGGCAGATTCCTTGCTCTCTTTCAGGGGTCTGGCTGGACACTCTCACCAGAGCATCTCTGGTGACCTGTCCTAGAGAGGCTAGTGCTCTGACCAGGCGACCAGGCCAATTAGGGAAGGCGGCGGCAGCTGGCCTGACAGTAGGGCATGATGGGCAGGCAGAACTCAGAGTCTGGAAGCTGGATCCGTCTGTCTCCACCCTGGTGGGGAGATGGCCCTTGGCATGGGGACCCCGCACCGTGCTGATCCCTCATTTGTACCCCTAGGACAGAGCTTCACTTGAACCACTTGGCAGAGAACAGTGTGTTTGGGATTGTGCCACTGGCCAAGGTGAGGGGGCCTATGGGGACGGGGTTGGCAGCCCTGGGCTTTGGGAGTAGGGGCCGCCTCAAGCGGCCTGGAGTGCCCCATGCAAGGAGCAGGATCCCAGCTCCAGGCTGGCGGCTCTCCCTAGCCTCGCCCTCCCTGAGGGCCCAGCAGCATGGGGGTACACCAGGAGGGACAGCCCCTCTGAGACGCGGGCCCATCTGTCCCTGCAGCCTGAGGAGAAGCAGAAGGCGGCTCAGCAGTTCAGTAAGCTGCAGACCGCCATGAAGGTGTTGGGCATCTCCACAGATGAACAGAAAGCCTGCTGGCTCATCCTGGCTGCCATCTACCACCTGGGGGCTGCAGGCGCTACCAAAGGTAACCTGCAGGGGGTCCCGACGGCGCGGCTTGTCGCCCAGGAGAGCTTGCGGAGGCCCTGCCGCTCCGTGCGCCCTCACCCGGCACGGACGTCTCTGTTAGCAGACACCCCTCTGTTGCTTGCGCCTCTTCCCAGCCCCCCACCTTGGAGCACAAGGCTCCGAGCACCCGGAGAAGCATCTCTGCCCCTGGGCTTGGGCGGCAGTGATGCGGAGCCCTGTGAAGAGCAGGGGGGCGGCGGTTCTGAGGCCGAGGGGGAGGAGAAGGGCCCTAAGTCAGAGCAGTCCCCCTGAAATAACTCTCCTTCTTGTTCCCTTCCTGACAGAGGCCCCCGAGGAGCAAGCGGGTAACTGACCTTGGCCCTTCCCTGGGGGGTTGAGGCCACCTTGCCCCGTCTTGGTGCTGGCCCTGGGCTCTCTCTGGGGACTGGGCTTGTTCTGTCCGAATGGAGGGGACTGGCCTGGGAGGAGCCCCAGGTTGAGCAGGGAGAAGGCGCCTGCTGGCCGTGAGGCCCCAGGCCTAGCTGCTCCGACTCGTTTTGCCTCCACATCCTGGGACCTCTCAGGATGCCCTCCAGGGGGCCTAGATGTAGGGTAGGGTGGGCTTGCCATCTTGGGGCGTTCCAAGGCCAGTTTTCCCAGAGTCTTCTTCCCTTCCCTTCACTGGTTTGGTAGCCGGGGGTCTCTTCCCTCTTGCATGGCAGGGTGGAGACCACTAGGGGGCAGCAGGCACCGTGGTAACAAATGGGCTGCAGCTTCTGCACTTGGACTTGGGGGCTTGTGAATGGCTAGAACTTGGTCTGGCTTGGAAGAGCTTTGCTGCCTTCCTCTGAGATTATGTTGATGGGCGGGCACTTGGAGCACCTCTTCACCCCTTCCTTCCCTTCCTCAGAGGGCTCCTGCCTCTGAACGGCGCCTTGGGCTTTGGCTGCATCTTCTCTGGGATGTGAAGGGCCCCAGGCTGCTCAGCAGGAGCGAGAAAGCACTGGTGGGTGGGTGGGTGCACAGAGGGGCAGGCGGTTCGGTATCAGGTTCCTTACGATCCCAGCAGGTGGCATCCCTGCCAAAGAGGAAGCAGGCTCTGAGTTAAAGTTGTCTCCAGACTGTGTAGGTGGGCAGGCGGGTAGGCGTGTGGCTGTGTCTTGAGGAAGTTCTTCCAGTCTGAGGAGGTGACGAGACCAGGTTTCCTATAACCCTGTATTCCGTCAGCACTGCCTGCAAGCAGACAGATCTGGGTGTGTCACACAGGGACCCTGTTGAGCAGGGTCTGTCACCTCCTCAGAGCTTCCAGTATTTTCCAGAGGATGTGTGCACATGTGTGCACGTGTGTGTGTGTGTGTGTGTACGTGTGTGGTGTCTTTGTAGGTCTGTGTGTGTGTGTGTGTGTCAGCGTGATTACACCCGTAAACATACTCCTTTGAGATTGTGTGTGTGTGCACTTGGGTATATTTTTGCGTCTCTGAGTCTGAATGTGGTTGCGTTTTCTCGCCTGCTCATCCTCACAAACACCCCCCCACACACACACACACACATCCCCCACGGTCCCTTCCCACGGACCTGGCAGGTTCAGCTGATGACTGGTTGCTAACACGCTGTTTTTCTTTGCATGCTGCATGCTGGTCCTTTGCCTTACAGAAGCTGCTGAAGGTAAAACCTTGTTTCTTGTTAGCTTTCCCTAATTGCTGTGATTAGACACATGTTGGCTGAGGCACATCTGTCTGCCTGGGCTCTTCCCTTTCCCCCCTGGCTCCCTGGCTCCCTTGCTGTGATTAGACACATGTTGGCTGAGGCACATCTGTCTGCCTGGGCTCTTCCCTTTCCCCTGTGGCTTCTTCCACTTCCCCGCTGTTGGGCCATGGGGTGGTGGTGGTCTCCCCTGGCAGACGCCTGGAGGTAAGGGAGAGGGTCCTGCTGCATTCACGGAAGGGGGAGGCACTAGAACTCTCTCATGACGTGTCCCCCACAGGCTCACGTGGCTCTTGTGCTCATCACAGGGGGGCTGGCTCATGCCCTGACTGTCCTTCCCCAGGTTGGCACCCCTGAGGCCAAGCCCTCCAGAAGAGAGGTTCCGAGCTGCCTGGATGCCCTCTGGTGGCAGTGGTGTAGAGTTCCCGCCTCTTTTAGGACCTGTTGTTCTCTCCGCCCTCAAAGGACGCAGCCATTGGCTGTCTCTGTTTTGCCTAAAGCCCCTTTGGTGTGATTAGGGCTGGTTTTAACTCCAGAAGATGCTCGGTCCTCAGGTCTTGGCCATGGGAGCCAAAGGGCGCAACAGTCATCAGATGGACTAAGGAGAAAGACCCAAGGTGCCAGATCCTTTTTTTTCTACCCCGTAGCTGGGCGCAAGCAGTTTGCCCGCCACGAGTGGGCCCAGAAGGCCGCATACCTGTTGGGCTGCAGCCTGGAGGAGCTATCCTCAGCCATCTTCAAGCACCAACACAAGGGCGGGACGCTGCAGCGCTCCACCTCCTTCCGCCAGGGCCCCGAGGAGAGCGGCCTGGGAGACGGCACAGGTGCCCCGAGCCCCGTGGCTGCTGGATGTGATTGGGAGGCCCCATGCAGGCCTCGTTGCTGTCTTCTCTGGCGGGGGGAGACCGCTGGGGTGAATAGATGCTTCCATCAGAGGGAGAGGCCCAGCTCCAGGGCCCCATGCTGATTTGACCCTGGGTGGCTAGAGAGCATCCGCCCATGGGGATCCCCAGAGGCAGGAGGTAGAGCTGATGCTCTTGCCCCACAGGCCCCAAACTGAGTGCACTGGAGTGCTTAGAAGGCATGGCGTCCGGCCTCTACAGTGAGCTCTTCACCCTTCTGGTCTCCCTGGTGAACAGGTGAGTGCCAGGCAGGGCCCAGGAGCTGCCCAGCCTCCTGCCATGACAAAGGGGGAGTTGATGGCTCCATGCTGGTGGGATCGCTGAGGCAGCGCCCTTCTCCACCAGCAGAGGGCTCACCGTCCTCGCGGGCGAGGAGAGGCACGTCCTCCCCACCAGGCTCCTGGGCACCTGCGCGGGGATGGAGATTTGGCTTGGGGCGGAACAGGGCTGCCTGGGTGCCACGGGCAGACCAGTGGGGCCTGTTCGGCAGTACTGCCCTGGACAGTCCTGACCCATGCTCTCCCTGTGAAGGGCTCTCAAGTCCAGCCAGCACTCGCTCTGCTCTATGATGATTGTGGACACTCCGGGCTTCCAGAACCCTGAGCAGGGTGGGTCGGCCCGCGGAGCCTCCTTTGAGGAGCTGTGCCACAATTATGCCCAGGACCGGCTGCAGAGACTCTTCCACCAGCGCACCTTTGTGCAGGAGTTAGAAAGATACAAGGAGGTAACACTTGACCTTGCCTCTGCCTTGCCCACCCCCCAGCCCCTGCCCACCCCCCCACCCCCGGCCTCAGCTTCCTGGCACCCACAGGGAGGACATCTGTGGAGAGGGAAGGCCCCACCTTCCCTGCTTTTGCTCTCTGGCATTTCTGTCTCCCTGTGCGCCCCGGAGTAGTAGTCTTGTCCTGCCCCAGACTATATCCTCACTTTGTAGAGAGTTTGCTCTCCAAGAAGCTGCAGGCGCATTCGGGGCCCCTGAGAGCCCCTCCTTGCCCACCCTCAAGGCACCTGCCTAGGCCCCGTGAATTGCCACCGCGCAGTTCCTGCCTCCTTGTGGGTCGGCCAGGCCTTCCCTGGCTCCCTGGCTCCCTGGCTCCCTGGCTCCCAGTCTGTTAAGATGGTGATTGATCATGTAGGGCCCCTCCATAAAAGGGTGTCCCGGATGGGACAAGATCTAGAAATCCTACCTCATGGGCAGGTGAGATGAATGAACTGGGGAGGATATTTATCTTGGCTGAGAGAAGATTCAGGAAGCAAATGACAGCAGTCTTCAGGCGGTTCAAGGATGATTGTGTGAAGTCGAGAGTAGGCTTATTCTGTATAGTCTCATCAACTGGTGTGAATAATAGGAACGGGGGACTTTCGCTCAGTGTTAAAGAAGGTTAAACGACTCTTAGCTGTCGGAAAAGGCCATGTGGTGCCTTGGGAGGTGGTGAACACTTGTCAGAGGGGCTGCTGGAGGGGAGGAGCTCCTGAGAGGGACGGAAGGGTGGACTTGCTGGCCCAGCGCCCCCTCCTGGCCTTCAGCGTAGGGCGGCACCCCTCAAGGGGCCTGCGCTCACTTCCTCTCTCCCTTCCCTCCTAGGAGAACATTGAGCTGGCATTTGACGACTTGGAGCCAGCCGTGGATGATTCTGTGGCAGCTGTGGACCAAGCCTCCCATCAGTCCCTGGTAGGAGTTGCAGCGAGGGCCTGGGCTGACCCTTTGTCCCCTTGTCTGTCCCTTCCCCTCAGTCGAGCCCTCGCTGTGTAAGCTACTGTTGCACGGCTGGTCTGGCCCGGAAGGTAGCACTTCCTTCTGCCCTGGTGCAGTGAGAGCCCCAGCCCCCGGGTGTCCAAGCCACGGGGGGGAAGCATACCTGCCCCCTCGTCCCCAGGCCCTGTCCTGTGCCCGCCTGAGCCTCGTGTGTCTGCCAGGAGCCTGGTGTCTCCTCCTTGGTGGTGAGGGCTGGGCTGGACCCAGAGGACAGAGTCATCCCTCCCACTGTCCCCAAAAGACTGGTGCAGCCAAGCAGAGTGGGTGAGGCGTCTGTGCAAATAGGGAATCCGTGCCTCGCTCCAAATATGAGCCCTCACCCCTCAACCTTTGGGACAGGCTTTGTCACACTTTGGATGAGGATCTCGGGCACTTGGCTGGCCTGATGAGCACTTGGCATGTGCTGACTGTCTTCAGTTAGGGAAGTTTCAGAAGGCACTTTACTAGAGAATTGGCATTTTTGCTAGGCTGCTGCTCCCCATCTCTGCTTTGACCCCTGCCTCCTTCTCTGTCTTCCTTGTGGGCAGGCCCTGCTGTGCTAACAAGGGGTTGGGGCCCCAGGGAAAGTGAGTGTCCCCCTAGGGACTAGTATTTAAAGTACCCAAGTTCCATGTCCCCCCCCCCCCCCGCCCCCAGGGAAGCTGGCTTTTCTTTTCCTGACACCTGGGTTCCCAGCTGGCCTTCGCTGAGAGCCTTTGCCATTCCCAGGAGATGTGGGGAAGTCAGTCCCTGTGGCTTAGGAGGGGCAGCATGTCAGATAGCATGTTTGGATGGGACTTGGCTATCCCTTCCCTTCCCTGCTCTCCCTGTCTGATGGACCTCGGCACCTCTGGGGACGGGGCCCCTGGGTGCTGAGTCTGCCACTCACTGTCCAGTGGCTTCATTGCCCAGTCCTGCCATGTAGCTCCGGCCACTCTGGGACCTTAGCTCCCCATCTGTCCCTGGCCACATTCTGCTTCCTCCTGGTAGTCACACTGACTCCCTTGGGCAACCATGGGGTGGGGGGGCGATGCAGGCAGCTGGGTGCAAAGAGAGGGAAAAGCACTTTTCTTACTTCTCTTGTCCCCCCAGTCCCGAAAGGCCAGGAAGGAATGGGGTGTAAGGGAAGGTTCCATCCTTCTTGCTCAGGGAAGTCTTGGAAATGCCATGGAAAAGGCACCTTCAGCCCAGATGCAGCCACAGGTCTAGTTCGTGTGACCCACATAGGGTATTAGAAATCAGAATTCTCTTGAAAAGCTGGAGGCTTTACCAATGCTAGGCCAGTGTTCTTCCGGGACAGCGGTGGGCTGCAAGCTGATGGGCGGCCCTTCCCTGTAGATGGGGACATGTGCTATGCCATCACCCCGACTCCACCCATTCCAGCTGTTACATCTCCTAAGCCACCCATCTTACGATTTTGGCACTTGAGCCTCTGACCCTGCAGGAGTCCCACCTGCAGTGCTCGGAACACTCTCTGGGATCCCCCCTGTCAGGGGGACCAGGCTTGACCCCACAGCTGTCACTGGCTGACAGCTTCCTTCAGGCCACGCCCCCTGCCTGGGGCCTTCCAGAATTTTTGTCTCATTAATCTGCCTGGGAGGTGATGCCCAGGTTGTGAGAGCAACATGGGCTCACCCAAGGCCCTTGTGACTTCCAAGAGGATGAGGATGGTTCCCGAGAAGCCTTCAGCCTTTCGGGGCTCTGGACACAATTCCTGGGAAGGAGATTTTGCTGTGGGCTTCTCTCTCTAACCTCTGTCCCGCTCCCTCTTTCCCCTTGCTGCCCGGCTGCCCCACAGCGTGTCAGCCAGGAGTGACAGGAGCTGCAGTGCGTGTGCATATGTGTAGCAAGTTTATAGTGTGTGGTTGGGCCAGGGGCTCCGTGAGACACGGTGGCTTCTCTTCGCTTCTCCACAGGTCCGCTCGCTGGCACGCACTGACGAGGCGAGGGGCCTGCTCTGGCTATTGGAAGAGGAGGCGCTGGCGCCCGGGGCCACCGAGGACGCCCTCCTGGAGCGCCTTTTCTCCTACTATGGCCCCCGGGAAGGTGACAAGAAAGGTAGGTGGTACCGATGGAGGGCTCTTTTGCTTCCTCTCCGGAGAACCCACTTGTATGGCTCTAGACGGTACTGCCTGGAAGGGCTCACTGAGTCCCGGGGCTTTTTGGGGGCCTGTGCCCTGATGATCCGAACCTTCCTTCTCCCCCGCTCAGGCCAAAGCCCCCTCCTGCGCAGCAGCAAACCACATCATTTTCTCCTGGGCCACAGCCATGGCACCAACTGGGTTGAGTACAATGTGGCTGGCTGGCTGAGCTACACCAAACAGAACCCAGCCACCCAGAACGCCCCCCGGCTCCTGCAGGACTCCCAGAAGTAAGAACACCACTCACCCGGCCCATGTCCCATCCCTGAGGCTGGTTTTGGGCTTCCTGGTCTCAGAGGCCCCCTCGCCAGCGGGGTTGATGGCCTCTGTTTCCTGAGAGGGGACAGCCAAGGCCAGTTGGTCTGGAGGGCCTGGGGGTGGCCTCCTGGAGTAGAAGTGGGATGGACATGGTTGGAGGGACCTACAGATTGAAATTTGAATAGCACCTCCAGGTTCTTCACAGAAGGCAGGAGTAACAAAAACAAAACAAAACAAAACAAAAAAACTTTAAAAAATGGGGCACCTGGCTGCCTGAGTTGGAAGAAGCGTGCAGCTCTTGATCCTGAGGTCATGAGTTCAAGCCCCATATTGGTTGTAGAGATTACTAAAAAAAATGAATAAATAAAATAAGACACAAATAAAAAACTTTAAAAGAAGGGAGGAGTAGCCTTAGAAACCCCTCAGTCACATAAGGCCTGTCATCCATTTTGTTTATTTAGCAGATAATTATTGGGCGCCTACTCTTTTAGGTACCTGGCAGTAAATAAAACAAAACTCCCTGCCCAGTTGGGGGGGGTGCACATAACAACCAGTAGATGTCATACGCAGATTATATGGTATGGTAGAGAGGGCTGGGCTCTAATCTCTCCTGCCATCCTGGACTTCTGCCCTCCCTAGTGATGGAGAAGAGAAGATCACACTTCTGTCCCCCTCTACCACCCCCCCACTGGTTTTCTCTTCTCCCTGTTTGTAGATTTCCCTCCAGTTTCTCTCTAGGGTGTGGGGCATGCAGCCCCAGGCCCCTGGCCACGGCCATATGGGGGACTTGGGGGTGTCCTAGGAACTGGGAGGACACCCTCTACTAGTCTCTCAAAGTGACTGCCTTCCCTCCTTCACCCTTCCACCTCTGGTAGGAAAATCATCAGCAGCCTGTTTCTGGGCCGGGCAGGCAGCGCCACGGTGCTGTCAGGCTCCATCGCAGGCTTGGAGGGCGGCTCACAGCTGGCACTGCGCCGGGCCACCAGCATGCGGAAGACCTTCACGACGGGCATGGCGGCTGTCAAGAAGAAGTCACTGTGCATCCAGATTAAGCTGCAGGTGGTGAGTGTGCCTGCCCAGGCCCCATGGCCCTTTCGGGGCTCCTCTGGCCGTTCTGGGGAGAGTACCCGGTACTCTTACCGGGTACCCACTCAGCACCCACTTACCCGGTACCCACTCAGCATCCCCCTCTGCTGGGTCCTCTGTTCAGTGCTGCCGCCTGAGTGGCCCCTCGGGCCTCGTGAGGGTGGAGTTGCCCAGGCTTGGCATGTCTTGGCCGGCGGTGGGACACCTGCCATCCTGCGAGGAGCAGAGATGCTCTCCTGGGCACGGGCTGGGCCCCCAGAATCCACCGAGGCCTGTCCCTCTCCCTTTGGCAGGACGCCCTCATTGACACCGTCAAGAAATCAAAGCTGCACTTCGTGCACTGCTTCCTGCCCGTAGCAGAGGGCTGGGCCGGGGAGCCCCGTTCCGCATCCTCCCGCCGAGTCAGCAGCAGCAGCGAGCTGGACCTGCCCTCGGGAGACCACTGCGAGGCTGGGCTCCTGCAGCTGGACGTGCCCCTGCTGCGCGCCCAGCTCCGGGGCTCCCGCCTGCTGGACGCCATGCGCATGTACCGCCAAGGTGGGGCCTCCTTCCGTCTCCACTCCTCCTGTTTTCTGGAGCCGTTCCTGCTCCTCCCCACCTTCCAAATGGGACCCGTGGGGCTAGAGGGGTGCTGCTCCCCTCCTGTCTCTGATCTGGCCCTGGATCTCTTTTCTGCTCTGGTGCCTGCTCAGGGGTGGGGGTGGGGTGGCGGGGAGCTGGGGGGTGGTCTCTCCAGCCCGGTCTGTTCCTTTCTTTTTCTTTCCACCTGGCTGACTCCCTTCTCCCTCCTCTCCTTTCTCTATTCGGTCCCCTTCAGCCCCTCCCCGCCCTGCCCCACAGGCCCTGTTCACACAACCCCCCTCCCCCCTTCCCTGCTCTGCCCACAGCAGCAGACCTGTGCCCACCTAGAGCCTTCTGCTCAGTGACGCTAACTACCTCCGAGAGCAGGCTGGGCCATACCCCCCACTGAGAAATGAGGTGCTAAATCTTTCTGAGGTACTTCAAATTCCCAAGAAAGTTCAGCCAGATCCTTTTTATGGTCCCATCTGGAGGAGGGATTGGAAGGGGTGAGAGTAATAGCATAGTTGACCCCTGACCAACTTGGGTTTGAACTGTGGGGGCCCACTCACACGCGGGCTTTTTGTAGTACGGTAGGGTAAACGTGTTTTCTCTTCCTTCTGCCTTCCTCAATAACATTTCCTTGCTTTACTGTAACAATACGGTTCGTCCTACACATCACATACAGCCACGTGTTCGTCGACTGCTTATGTCATCAGTAAGGCCTCCGGTCAACGGTAGCTTATGAGTTGTTAAGTTTTGGGGGGAACTGAAAGTTATATTTGGATATTCGACTGCGCAGGGGGTGTAACTCACATTGTTCAAGGGGCAACTGCTCAGCATTGTTAGAACATTTGTAACCTACCAGGCACCGTTCTGGACTCATCATACACACTACTCTTTTAATCCTCACAACCATCTCATGAGATGTTGGTACTATTACTGTCCCCAGATGAGGAGACTGAGGCTCAGAGAGGTTAAGTAGCTTGCCCGAGGTCACACAGCTCATGAGTGGCAGAGCGAGATTTGACCCATGCGGACCAGCTTCTGAGTTCATGCCTCTCGAGTGGGGTTTCATTTGCCTGGGAAGTTATGGGCTGCCAGATTTCTGCCCTTTTTTCCTTTGATAGGAGAACTGGCAGGGTCCCACCTGCCCATAGCCAGGTCCCCTTGAGGCATCCCCATGGACCATCACTTTTCCTTGGCAGTCAAAGCCACAAAACAGGCTCCCTGCCCTGCTCTAAATAAATCTTCGATCTGTCCCCACGTCTTGATATGGAGTTGGTGTTTATTATTTCAAAACCAGATTGTTACCGCTCTGAACCAAAATCAATGTGCTTTACTCAAACAAGCAGATCGATGAGGCCAGCAGCAGCAGGCCCCCCTCCCCTCGCCCAGCCCCCAGCCACCATCAATAGCGCTGATGATTAATTAAGATGCCAGGCGTCCAGACCTGCTATCCTGGCCCATCAATTTAATTGCAATTTAGATACAATCAATAGCTCACTTTGTCTTGGCCCCTCAGCGGCCCCCGCCTCCTGTTTCAATTATCGGGCACATGCATCAGCCTCATCTCCCAGTTGGAGGGTTTCCCGGAGCTAGTGAGGCTGGTGTAGCAGAGCGAGCCCCTGACGGGCTCTCGAGAGCCCGGGTTTGGAGTCCAGCTCTGCCTCCAGCTGCAGCCTTTGTGACCTTGAGCAAGCCCGTCAGTCCACCTCTTCGGCCTCAGTTCCCAGGCCTGGAAGATGAGTTGGATCTGGTCTAAGACCCCTTTTCCGTTTGAAATTCTGTGAATGTGTATGAGTGGGTCTCTCAGTCCTCCACTGTGGGCTCTGGTGCCCTCAGGTGGCTCAGGGTGACCTCCTACCAGCCACCATCCCGACCTTGCTCCAAGCCAGAAGCCATCTGACCTTTGTCCTGGCCTCAAGCCTACACAGCAGGGAGGTCTCTGCTAGAAGTAGTGCTCTTCAGGGAAAGAGAATCTAGAAGTCTTTGGGTCACCCGGTCTAGGGCTCAAGGTCAGGATGGGAGCAGGAAGGGCACCCTTTCTGTATCCTGCTTCAGGGAACTGGGGAAAGGAAGGAGCATTTTACTGAACACCCATCATGTGAGCCAAGCCGTGCTTTCCACATATGTTCTCATTCAAACCCCATGACTACCGTGCAAGGTAAGCAGCAGGTCCCCCCTTGAAAGATGAGGAAAGCAAGAGTCAGAGATGTTGAATGACTCATCACATGGTGCCAAGAGCCAGGGCCAGGATTCTGACCCCAAGCCCATGCACTTTTCCTCTCGGCTGCTCTCTGTGGCCCGATTTTCTTTTTCCTTGTTAAGTCCTGAAGACGTTGTTCTCTCTGGGTATAGCAGAGTCCTAGACTCGGAGGCTAGAAAGCATCTCTCTTCTCCATAGCATTCCTTCCAGGTGGGCAGCTGTCCCCTGTTCGCACACCTCACTGACAAGGCGCTTATTTCTAAAGGAACCCGTTCCCGTTGTAACCTTGCAGCCCCATGGGAGGGCAGCCCTAACTGTCCTGCAGACCCCTGTCCCGTACCCCTGCCTCTTCCTCCCGCACCTCCTTTCCCAGGTCTGCCTCAGCCTCAGGCTCTCCTCCCCCAGCAGCTTCTGCCCCTTCCGGTAACTGTCCCCGAGTGCGAATTGGCTCTGGGCTGCCCTCTCTCTAGGTTACCCTGACCACATGGTGTTTTCCGAGTTCCGCCGCCGCTTCGACGTCCTGGCCCCACACCTGACCAAGAAACATGGGCGCAACTACATTGTGGTGGATGAGAGGCGGGTAGGTCTGGGCCCCAGAGCCCTACCAGACCCCCTTCTGCTCAGACCCCTCCAAGCAGCTGCCCCTCCCTGCCTAGAGAGAGCCCGGCTGGCCCTTGCTCCAGCTCCTGGTTTTGGCCGCCCGGGCCAGGACAGGGGCGCGTGGCAGCCAAGCTGGGACGGTGGGGAGAAGGCAGCCTGGGGCGTGGCCTGTAGGAATCAGAGAAGACCCACCCTCTTTGGAGGCCAGAGTTGGGGGTCTCCGCTCTCTGGTGAGCTGGCCATCTAAGAGCCTCCCAGGAGGCAGATAAGAGCTCGTGTTTTGGGTGTTACCACTGGTAGCCCCTGGGCCCTTCGGCCTTAACTTCCACATAAGGGATGGTTCCTGCAGCAGGAAGCTGTCCAGGGGTGGGGCAAGCGTCCGTCCTCAGGGCAAGATTGATATGGCAAGGCCTTCCGGTGCCAGGGTAAGCTGAAGGCTCCCGGGCCCCTTGTCAGTACAGGTTGCTGAAAACAGGGCTGTCACCCCCCAGAGGCAGCTCCTCAGAGAGCCAGAGGGCTCCTTGAGCAGAGGACGCCTCCTTCCCTGTGCTCTGCCTCAGGCACCCGGCCTGACTCTGAAGGCATCTCAGACCTTGGGATGGCTTCCCTAAGAGGGAGAATGCTCTGCAGAATGGGGCAGAATGGGGCAGAAAGCCCCCTTCCCCTTGCCTCCTGAATCACAGACCCACATTCACGGAGACCTCAAAAACTTCTCTCCATCCAGGACCTGCCAGTGTCCTGGGTGACCTTGGTGTGCGTGTAGATGACCCACCCCACAACCCCCTTCTCTCTGACCCCTGACCTTTATTCCAGCCTCCTACTCACAGCTACACCCAGATCTTGTCACCCCTGGAAATGCTTCACCTCGGAAATCTTCAGTTCCATCATGGCCTTCCCTGCCCACAGCCTCCTAACCTGTGCACCTCACTTCTCTCCTCTCAGGACACCTGCTCTTTGCCTCTTTTGAGACCTCTCATGTCTGGACCCCACTGCGTTTTCTCTGCTCTGTCCATTCCCTTCTGACTTTCTTTTATGCTCACCTCAATGCCATGGTCCTGCCCTCCGGTCACTTGGCCTTCATCACCCTCAGCTCTCCTGTGCCTCCCGGGGCACCTGCCTTGCCCAACCCCCATGCTGAAGGGCCAGCCTCCGGGCATCTGCACTCCTCGGTTTGGGTTTCCCAAGGGCTAGGGGAGAAAATTACACAACCGGGTGGACCTGAAGTCCTACAGGTTCATGGTCTCCAGCCTCAACCGGGCCCTTGCTGTGGCCCAGCAAGTTTTTCATATGCCCCATCCTTCCCTGGCCCCTATTCCAAGCTCCTTCCCTGCTGTTCTGTTCTCCGTCTTTCTCCTCCAGTCCCCCGCTACCCTGCCTACCCAGGTCATCTGCCCAGCAATTGACCTTGCCTCTAATCGGTCATAAAATTGAGGCTCCAGCTTCCTCCTCTGCCTTGTGTACACTTGTCTTCAGGTGCCTTCTTGTTCAGCCCTCCTGTCTGGGTGGGAGAGGTATCCCTTCCCTCGTCCAATCCCTTCCTCCTGTGCTTTGGAATCCATTCCCCGGGGCTCCCTGGAGGCCCGCTCCATCCACGCTAACTGTTCTCTCTCTCCCGTTCCTTCGGCCTCTCCTCCGCTGGCTCTTTCCTCTCAGCGGAGAAACATCCTGCAGATAGTTGCTTGGAAAAGAGCCTCCCATCAGCCCTCTGTCATGCCAGGCAGTTGTCTGTGGCTCGCCTGCCCCCTCCCCGCTGCCGCCACCCATCCCTCCACCCTCAGCTGCCTGGATCCCAGCCCCGACACCCTGGGCCTGGTCTTCTGTCGCCCATCGCCCTCCATGTTGCCAGAGCTAATGACCACCTTACTGTGCTTCTTGGCAACATCTGACTCTCTTGACAACTCTGTTCTCTGCTCAGCTTCCTTGCTGCCGCTCCTGGCTTTGCCTTTTCCCTCCGAGCATCCCTTCTTCTACCTGCCCCTGAAGTAAAGGTCTCTCTCTTCCTTAAGACGCTGTCCTTGGCCATCTGTGCTTTCTAGTCTACAGCCTCTCCCCGGCCAACCTCATTCACACCCATCGTTTCAATTACTACATACGTACTGACGACTCCTAGATCAATACCTGTAGCCCAGGCCTCTCTCCTGAACTTCAGACGTGCATTTCTATCTGGCTGCTTTCTGGGCTTTTCTACCTGCATGCCTCAAACGCAGCATGTTCAGACCACATTGATTCCATCCCCTCCCCAACCTACTCTGGCTCGTCCGTTTCCTACCTTGGAGAGTGGCACCATTATCTGTTTAGCTACATAAGTCCGAAACCCCAGTGGTGTGGTGTCCCTAGATTCCTCCCTGTCAGCTGCCCTGCCCCCTCTATCTCCTTCACATCTCTGGCATTTCCGCCTCTTTCTTCCCTTTGGGTCAGGCTCTAGCCTCCTCTCTTGTGAATTCCTGCAGTAGCTGCCTGAGGGGGTCTCCGTCCATTCTCCCCTCATGTGCCAGTGGGGATCCCTGGAAAATGCAAATCCGATCCTGTCCCTCCCTGACTGAACCCTCCGGGGGCTCCCAGCGCACACGGGTGCCCCACCCTTTGGCTACTGCCCACCTTTCTAGTTGTACCTTAACCGCCCTACCCCCTTCCCTCCTGAACTACCTGGTTTCCTCAGCGCGTTCTCTTGTCTTGCGCTTCCATGCCTTTGCTCACGCTCGTCCGTCTGCCCGAAATGCCCTCTCCCCGACTTTGGCTAGTTCTTCCTTGTAACTGAAGACTCAGCACAAGCTACACCTCACCTCCTCCAGGATGCCTTCCATGGTCCCTGTGTGACTTAGTTGCCTCCTCCTCTGTGTACTTCACTAATTCACTTGTCTCACTCCCCAGCAAGACAACTTATTGCTCTCGTAGTCATCCTTACGTCCCCAGAATCTAATCTAGGGCCTGACAGTGCGGAAGCCCACCGAAAGTGCTTGTTGAATGAGTAATGGACTGCCTCCGCGGAGGCCCGGGAGGGACTCGTGGCCTGGGCGAAGCCCTGTGCGGAGACGGGGGCGGCCCCTAGCCTCCCTGACAGAGGCGTCTCTCTGCAGGCGGTGGAAGAGCTGCTGGAGTCCTTGGACCTGGAGAAGAGCAGCTGTTGCCTGGGCCTGAGCCGGGTGAGTGGTCACTGCAGGAGGGCGGTAGGGCCCGGCCCTCACTCTCTGGTCGCCCTGTCCCAGTGGCTGGCCCTCCCCTTCTGACTTCCCTTCCTCTCAATAACCGACTCGTTCAGAGCCATGAACACCCCTGTGACGTCGCGAGGGGGAGTGGGTTGGAAGGTGGCCCTGAACTTGGCCTGAGTCCCGGTGTGGGGAGTGAGGAGAACAGAAAGGAGGAAAGCTGGACAAAGCAGGAAGGCAGTAGGCAGCGTGTTCCAGAGGCGCCCCCCGCTCCCGGGGCTGCCAGGGCCCCAGAAGGCCAAGCAGGATGCAGTGAGGCCGTGCTGCCCCCACCTGCCCACAAGCCCAGTTCCTCACCTGAATGGAACGTGGCGTCTGCAGGGCAGGCACGCCCGGGCCCGGGTGCCAGCCTGCTGCATCACTCCACGCCAGAGGGTCAGGCGAGCGTCCCTCCCACGGGCAGGAGGCCTGCTCGCCTCTCTCTCCTCAGACTGGGAGGCTTGACGGGTGGCTTCCACGTATGTGCTCCAAGGGTCGTGGCGGGAGGAAGGGCATTTGGGAGCCAAGGGGGGGATTCCGAACCTCTCTCCACCTGTCAGCAGGGAAGGAGGGAACTCCGGGTGCCGGGGCTTTGTGGGGAGTGTGAGGTGGACGCGGATGCTCGCAAAAAAGGCTTGGTGTTGCTTGTCTGCTCTGTTCTCTCGGTTCTGTCTTCTGAGTCACAGTCTTGCCCCTTCGCTTTCCCATCCCCTGGCTGTATCTTTGCCTCTGCTGGTTTTCCCTTTTCCTTTTGGCCCTGGCGGTTCCTGGCTCTGTCATTTTCTGTGTCTTTCCTTGTTCTCTGGGTGTTCTGTGGTCTCTTTTTTTCCGTGTCATTTTTCTGGTTTGGGTCTCTTGCTGTGTCTGACTCAACCTCTCCCATCCCCAGCTATCTGCCAGCTCAGGGGCTGCCGGCTGAGCTTCCTCCCTGGGAAGCCTGCTGTCAGAGGCTTCGCTTCAGCCTCTCGGTCTCTTGGGCGGGCTCCTGCGCCTTCGGCAGTCGGGGCTGCTGCTGGCTGGCATTGGGGTGGCACCTCCTCCAGGGCATGTCTTGGGCAAGAGAGGGCCTGTACAGGCCGGTCCTCTTCCCAGCTACCATCTCAGACCCTCTGCTTCATCCCAGGTGCCTGGCCGAGGCGGACGAGCCCCAGGGCCCACTCAAGCTCAGAGAGAAATTAGGGGCAAAGTTGGATATTTGCTCACATCTGATTTGGGAGAGAAATTTCAGGGCCTCTAGGCTGTGGTTGGACTGGCTGGTGAGCAGAGATTCCGTGTGTTCATCGTATTGCTTCAGAGGAGGGGGTCGCAGTCAGAGCCCACGGGACCCTGAGGGTTCGGGCAAGGTGTTAGAGGATCTTGAGAGCCTCCTGATATTGTTTATAAAATTTGTACGGATGCGTCTGTTGGGGAAGGAGAGGGCCCTGAGCTTTCACCCAATACTCAAAAGGACTCTTAACCCCACTAATGTACAGCTGCATGAGAGAGGTCTCAGGCTCCCCGCTCCAGTCCTGAGGCCATCTTTTTTCTTCTCATTGTGAGACACTGAGAATGGGGCCCACTCTCCAGCCCCTAACCCGCCACCTCCCATCTCCTGTCTTAGTCAGACCAGCTATGTGCCCTGACCACTAGCCCCTATGTCTGCCTCCTGGGGGACTTGGATATTCCCCACCCCCTGGTGGAATTTCAGGCTCACACATTGTGAGACATCAAGGCTCAGGTAGGGCTTGAGGCCATGGGAGACCCCAGGCACTCAGCATGAGTGTGGGATTTGGGGAAGCAAGCGTTGCTGAGGACCTGAGCTGGCTTTCTCCTAGGCCAGCCCCAGGGGACTAGGTTTCTGTGCAGTCGCCAGAGGCTAAGCTTTCTCAGCAGAAAGTGTAGGCCTTCTCTCCACTTATTCCCTGAAGGGAGGCCTGGGGACACTGTACATATTGGTTCTGAGTGTTTCCCCTGCTCTTTGCCCCACAGAAGGGAATTTTCTGTGTTCTGGGCAGGGTGGAGGTGGGCACACACCTAGGTGTCTCTTTGCCCTCTGTGAGGATCCCAGAGTCTTCTCTCACCTGTGTATTTCCCCCTCTTCTCTTAGCAGGGAAGACTTTACCCAGCCCCAGTTCGGAGCACCAAAGAGCGAGAGGAAATTCTGGCTGTGGGGGCTCCCAGCTGGTTCCTCTCCTGTCTGCCCTCCAGCCCCCAAACCTGTAGGACAGGTCCCTTGATTGGGCCAGCCCCCTCCCAGCCCCCTGGCTTTTTCATGAGCTGAAACCTGGGTGTGTGTGTGGGGGGGATGCTGGCACATGAAAGAGGAGGCTGTCTGAGAGGAGCCGGACCGGGGAGGGGGCCCCACCCTTTCTCTGCGCACGGCTTCTGGACCTTTCTCTCCTTACACACATTCACCACCATCCACTTGGCCTGATCCCAGGCAGCTGGCACCCACAGTTGGGCCCTCCGGTGGGCTGTGGGCATAGGGGGCACAGACAGTGTTGCTGGTGGTCCTGCGGGAACAAACCGCCATAGATGTTGCTGAGGGGTGTCCTGTCCCCATTTGACTGTGGCTGCTTTATGTCCTTCTTGTCCCAGATACCTTCCCTTTGACTTCCCTCTCCTTTTATCTCTCTTTGAAGTTAAGTTTCCCACCTTACTCCTCCTCTTCCGGAGAAACCTCCCCAGCCCCCGGCCTGGCCCTCCTCCCTCAGCCTTCCTGGGGCCTCTCCTTGCTCCTTCCCTCCTCTCTTGTTCCCTTGGATTTTCAGGTTCTTCCCGGGGCCAAGGACCCCCTCCCAGGCCTGCTGGTGTCCTGTGCCCCCAGCCATCTCCCGCCTTCATCTGGCCTGCTTCCCCACAGGTGTTCTTCCGGGCCGGCACATTGGCTCGGCTGGAGGAGCAGCGGGATGAGCAAACCAGCAGGAACCTAACCCTGTTCCAGGCGGCCTGCAGGGGCTACCTGGCCCGCCAGCACTTCAAGAAGAAAAAGGTGCTGTTCCAGGGTATCTCTGTCCCACTCCCCAGCCTAGATGGCAGAGCAGAGTTCCCGGGGTGGGGTGGGGGTGGGGGGTTCAAGGGAACATGCTGGGGCAGGAGGCTGGTCTTGGGACTATGAGTTATTGTCACCTGGGGGAGAAGAAGCAGGGACCTCCCAGGGCCACCATGCCCTGGGCCAGGGTGGGGAATGGGCAGCTCCTTGGTGCCAGCGAGCCTGCTGGTTATGCCCAGCACTGGGGCCATGGGGCCTGGTCCTGGGGCTGGGAGTGGGGGGCAGCGCCTAGGCGAAGGCGGGCTCTGGATCATAGGTGGGCTCTGGACCATGAAGATTAAGGAGCTGTGTCAGCGACTCCTTTTCTTATTAGCAAGTCCATAAAACAGCCAGCACCACCGCCTCTTGTGTTTCAGCAAGATTAGGTTTTATAGCACATCTAGGCCAGGGTGCTGGAAATAATCAGGCAGCAAATAAAGCAGATGAAATTATTCCTAATGACGGCAGAGTGGTTAGTGCCCAGTGCGGTGTTCCCAGGGCTAGGCTCTCTGCCGCCCACTCTCTGAGGGATGGGGAGAGGCTGGGAGCGAGGGCTGGGTGGCCAGAGGAGTCAGGTGGCCAGAGGAGCCGGGGGGGGGGGAGGGAAGTGGGGGGAGTCCTGGTTGGGCTTGGGACTGAGAGCCCTGCTGTGCACCACCCTCCCCCCCAACTTAGATCCAGGACCTGGCCATTCGCTGTGTGCAGAAGAACATCAAGAAGAACAAAGGGGTGAAGGACTGGGCCTGGTGGAAACTCTTTACCACCGTGCGGCCCCTCATCGAGGTACAGCTGTCCGAGGAGCAGATCCGGAACAAAGACGTACGTAACAGCTCGGGAAGGGCCAAGTCGATGGAAAAGGACTGGTTCATCCCTGTGGGCAAAAAGTCTTGCTGGCTTGTCTTGGGCTCCCAAGCGCTCTTTATTTAGTCCAGAGAGCCAATGTCCTTGAACGATACCTGTCAAACACAAGGCATCCCTCTGAGACGCTGGCTAAATTGCTGGGTAGCCTCTTGGTATAAAATCTCAGGCGTCCTCAGCATCTGGGGAAGGGTCTAGGGATAGGGGCCCCTGGGAGGCAGGGGCTTCCTGTTCCCTGTGTCCTGGCCCGAGCTTCACCGGCTTCATTCACCCCAACGGTGCAGAGTCCAGGCGCCAACCTCCCTCAGAGCCTCCGGCTCACTTTGCCCTCTTTACTGCACCCTAGGAGGAGATCCAGCAGCTGCGGAACAAGCTTGAGAAGGTGGAGAAGGAGCGGAACGAGCTTCGGCTCAACAATGACCGGCTGGAGACCCGGGTGAGTGACTCCCAGCGCCAGGCCGACTGGCCCACCTGTGCGGGGTGCCAGGCCCAGGAGGCCCCCCTGGGGTTCCAGCTGAGCGAGGCAGGCATTTCAACTGGTGGCGACTCCCTCCCCCCAACCCCAGATCTCGGAGCTGACATCGGAGCTGACTGACGAACGTAACACGGGAGAGTCCGCCTCCCAGCTGCTGGACGCGGAGGCCGCGGAGAGGCTCCGAGCCGAGAAGGAGATGAAGGAGCTGCAGGTGAGGGCAGGCCCGTGCTAATGACCACCGTGCTCTGGCGTCCATCTGCTCCCCGCTCCCCCCCAGGGACGGGTGGCCCAGCACCCCTGTCTGCCTGGGGGAAGCACGTGCCCATGTCTGCGTGGCTCTGGGCCGTGGCCGGTCCTGGGGGAGGGACTGGGATGGCAGCCTCACAAGCCTCCCTTCTGCAGACCCAGTACGATGCACTGAAGAAGCAGATGGAGGTGATGGAGATGGAGGTGATGGAGGCCCGCCTCATCCGGGCAGCTGAGATCAACGGGGAGGTGGATGATGATGACACAGGTGGGTCTGAGGCCGGAGGAGCTCGGCAGGGCCTGAGCAGCGAGCTCGGTACCACCGCCTCTCCCCGGGCAACCACAGCTGGGCCCCGGCCTGTCTCCCTTCTGCGGGCTGATACAAGTCTACAGTGACAGAGATAGATGAGAAAGTAGAGGTGCCAGCGAGTGCAGGGGATTATCATGGAGGGCCACGAGAGCTGTGATAAGGACAGGGTCTGAGGGCCACGGTCTGGTGGTCCCTGGGGAGAGGACGGCACACATAGCCACACGCCCTCTCTGCTCTTCTCCTGGCTTGGGAGGAAGCTGTCCTCCCAGAGACCTTCCTGAGTCCCTCTGGCTGATGCCACCTTCTGCCCCTCCCTGTCCCATCCTTCTTCCCCTCCGCTCAGTGCTCCCTTGCCTGCCCCACCCCCACAGGCGGCGAGTGGCGCCTGAAGTACGAGCGAGCCATGCGCGAGGTGGACTTCACCAAGAAGCGGCTCCAGCAGGAGTTTGAGGACAAGCTGGAGGTGGAGCAGCAAAGCAAGAGGCAACTGGAGAGGCGGGTGAGGCTGGGACAAGGAGTGCAGGCGCGGGGCCCTGGGAGCACCGGGGCTGGGGACGCCCAAGGGCAAGCTGTTGTTGGAGTGTGTTCGGGTCCCTGCGTGGCTGCGACCCCATCCCTCATCCCTAGATCTCTCCCTCGCTCGCCCCCCCTTCTCCACGCATGCTTCCAGCCTCTCCCTGGCGGCTGACCCCACCCCCCCCGCCCCGTCTGCGCCCTAGCTCGGCGACCTGCAGGCAGACAGTGACGAGAGCCAGCGGGCTCTGCAGCAGCTGAAGAAGAAGTGCCAACGGCTGACGGGCGAGCTGCAGGATACCAGGCTGCACCTGGAGGGCCAGCAGGTCCGCAACCACGAGCTGGAGAAGAAGCAGAGGAGGTGGGTCCCCTGCCGTGGGTCCCCTGCCCCAAGGCACAGGAGACTTTCTAGACCAGCCCCAGACAGGGCTCCCTGCCTCCTCCTCCCGGGAGGAAAGAAGGAAGGAGGGCCTGAATTTGGCAGGGGGCCTTGGCGACATGGTCCCTTGGCCTGCAATGTGAACAGGTCTCACTCCTGACCTCTGAGAAGCCCTCAGGCCCCATCCCTACTGAAGGCCTGCTCAGGCCTCGGCTCCGGACCTGCTCCCCGCAGCGTGTGCCCGTTACCCTGCCTGGGCCCAGTAAGGACGAAGCTTCCACCAGTCCCTGTGCAGAAAGCACTCTTGCCCCTCCCTGCCCCTTGCCCCCACCCAGCTCCCCATGTCTCGCTTGCCTCAGCCACACAAACACACTCTCCTGACTAATGTTGTTGAACTACCGTGCCACTTCCATCTCATTATGGTAATGACACAAAGGAGGGGGGCAGCCCTCACAGGATCAAATCCAATCTAAATTAATTTCCCTGGCTGGGGATGGGAATGGGACGCCTTTATTAGCAACACCGGGGAACCCACACACCCTGGGAACAGCAGGGTGCCCCAGGGAGTGGGAAGAGTGGCCTGGTTCCCCTCTGCAGGGGAGGGCTTCTTGGCAGAGGCCCCAGGTGCCTTCATGAAGGGACAGCCCCGCACCCACGACCCTGGGGGTGAGCAGGGCAGAGCTGAGTCCTTCCAGTGACCCCAGGTTTCCCTCGGCCTCCTGGGCACTCTGCTGTCCTCCCAGCTGGGTGCCGCCTGCAGAGTGAGGGGAGCTGGGAGATCTTAGTCCTCCCTTCCAGCACCGTGCCTCTCCGCCTTTACCCCCACCCTCCCATTCACTAGAGGCACCCTTAGTGGGACCCCTCTCCCAAGCCCCCTGCCCCCATGGCAGTGCCAGCCTGGCCTAGTTACCATCTCCCGCGCTCCCTGCTGGGTAACTTATTAGGTTTCATTTCAGCTGCCTGGAGTTTGCTTACCTTTTTTTTTGATGTGGGGTTGGGTTGGGGGGAGGCTTTCAGTTTTTGAAGGGAACCTTATTAGCTATTTGGGGAAGGTGTTAAGAGGAATTTCAGCAATTTGCTCCTTATTTAGAGTCACTGGGCAGGGGAAATAGGAGACTGGGAGGTAGAGGAGCCAAGAAAGAGGCCCCGACTGTGGACTGCAGCTCAGCAGGACTGCTGGCTTCTGGCCGGGAGGGGTGGGGGGGGGTCCTGGTGGGGACACGGGTACTGCTGGGCCACGTGGGCCTGGCCAGGGGCTGGCACCCAGAGGTGGGGGCTAGAGCCAGCCGCTCATCTGGAGTGGCCAAGTGGAACCGCGGAAAAGGAGTTAGATGAGGCAGGGCGTCCATTTCTACATATTCCGGTGCCCACCCTGCCCTCACCCTGGTCCCACATGCTTTGATCTGTCTAAATGGAAAAGGTCAAGACAACGACGGAGCAGAGTCTGTCCACCTCTTCCCCAGAAGCAGTCTGTGGGCCCCTCCTCGGCTCACCTAGTATAAGGGCTCCTTAGACCCACTCAGTGAAACGTGCGCTATCCCAGACTGGGTGGCCAGCAGGGCCTCGATGGCCTGTGATGCTGGATGTCACCTCACCGCTGCCCCCCACTTCCGGGCTATGCGAGGAGTCCCCCTCTGCTTGTGTCCTGTCCGTATCCATGGCCCTGCTTCCTGGCAGCCTGGGGGTGCTGGAGACCCAGACTCTTCCCTGCCCTGGTGGAGTCACCCTGGCCGTCCCTGCTCCCTCGCAGGTTCGACAGCGAGCTCTCCCAGGCACACGAGGAGGCCCAGCGGGAGAAGCTGCAGCGGGAGAAGCTGCAGCGGGAGAAGGACACGCTCCTCGCCGAGGCTTTCAGCCTCAAGCAGCAACTGGAGGTGCGTGGGCCACCCACCATCCATGCCCCAGCTGCTCCCTCCCGCCACCGGCAAGAGCTGGTCCCAGGCCAGCCTCATCTTCTCTTTTGCTCCAGGAAAAAGACATGGACATTGCTGGATTCACCCAGAAGGTTGTCTCCCTGGAGGCTGAGCTCCAGGACATTTCTTCCCAAGAGTCAAAGGATGAGGCCTCTCTGGCCAAGGTCAAGAAACAGCTCCGGGACCTGGAGGCCAAAGTCAAGGATCAGGAAGAGGAGCTGGATGAGCAGGCGGGGACCATCCAGATGCTGGAGCAGGTGCCGCAGGGTCTGGCCGAGGGGGGCACCGCCATCCCCACAGCTAATCCAGGGCATAGCCAGAGGGGGGCAAGTTCCCACATGTAGTCACTCATTCGTTCCCTTACTCACAAAATGTTGAGTGAGCACCTGATCTGTGCCAGACACAGTGTGAAAATAATTATGCTTTTGTGCGGCTTTCCACAAGAACAGATCTTGATTGAGCTCTAGTGGTGAGGGGCCCAGGCTACCCGGCAGCCAGAAAGCCACAAGCCCACGCGGCCTGCCGCTGAGCCACCGTGTCAGTTCAGAGAGCTAGAGCCTGAAGGCCAAATGGAAAAGCTGCCTAACTGTCCCCACCTCTGGCAGCCTGCTCTGGGCCGGCGTCAGACATCCAGTGAGGGGGGTGGCTTCTCTGGAGAAGCCGGCTGCCGCGGGAGCAAGGCGGGGGCTCAGGGAAGTGTGCTGGCAGAGATAGCCCCTGCTCCCAAGTCCTGGGAGAGCTGTCCATCAGGGCGCAGCGGGCAGGGGTCAGGGTGCCGCTCAGAAAGGAACCTGGTCCCTCCCCACAACCACCTCCAGGCCAAGCTACGTCTAGAGATGGAGATGGAGCGGATGAGACAGACCCATTCCAAGGAGGTGGAAAGTCGGGATGAAGAGGTGGAGGAGGCCCGGCAGTCATGTCAGAAGAAGGTAACGGGTCCAGTACGAACCCTGCTTCCCCCATCACTGCTTTAAAGTAAGGGGTTTTCTGGTTCCCTACCATAGCCACGCTACCACCCATTGCCATTCTGGACTTGAGGTCCTGGCCTTGGCTGGGATGTGTGCCTCGGGGACTATAGAGAAAGCTCGGTCCTTTGAGGGACGCATGCTCCCTGCTTCCTGGGCAGTCAGCGAGGCTGGCCCGGCAGGGCCTGCCCACTCTGGAACAAAGCCTCCCACTCTGGCATGGGGCTGCGGTGCATGGGCTGCCGTCCCTCCTCCCCCTCCCAGGCTGCTTTGAAACCCTGGGAACTTTGAATTCGGGGTCTGACCCCTCTGGGGTCTGCTCAGCCCGCCCCACAGCTTTCCCAGGGTCAGGGTGGGGGGATCCAGAAGGGAAGGGGCCCGGATGGCACCCGACACTGAAGGGACCGACGGGCCTCTGTCCCCACGGCCCTCCAGTTGAAACAAATGGAAGTGCAGCTTGAGGAGGAGTACGAGGATAAGCAGAAGGTGCTGCGAGAGAAGCGGGAACTGGAGAGCAAGCTCGCCACGCTGAGTGACCAGGTGAGCAGAGCCTGAGGTGAATCTCAGGGATACTAAGCTGGGCAGAGGTAAGGGGGGCCGGGCTCTGTGGAGCCCAGTGTCTTCACATGGAGAATGGGGGTCATTACCACACAGAGCACACCCTGGCCTGACCCCGGCACTGCCTCTGTTGTTGTGTGTTCGGGGGGCTCTGAGAATGAGAGCAGGGGTGAACAGCGGGTGTGGGGAAGACAGGAAGAGGCTCTGTGGTGGAGACCAGAGCCCCAGCTTCTGCTGTGCACCCAGGTGAGCCAGCGGGACCTGGAGTCCGAGAAGCGGCTCCGGAAGGACCTGAAGCGCACCAAGGCCCTGCTGGCCGACGCCCAGATCATGCTGGACCACCTGAAGAACAACGCACCCAGCAAGAGGGAGATCGCCCAGCTAAAGAACCAGGTATCTGGACAGAGAGGAGGTGGTCAGCTCCAAGGGGCAAACCACGCTTATGGTTTTAGTTCTTTCTCTCCCTGCCTTCCCCTCTCAGGGATTCTTGAGTCCTTGAGAAGGAAGGTAACAGGGGAGAGGGAGAAGCCACTCGTAGCCACCGGACTCCTAGGATCTGTGCATGCCAGATGGCATGACTGCCAAGCCCCAGGATGGCGTGGATGGGTCCCCGCACCCGCCTTCCCTGCCCGGGAGACACCCGTGTGTGCAGCCCCAACAGGCCACGGCCCGGGGGTCTGAAGGGAACAGAGCACCTGGCCTCCTTCTCCCCTGCGAGCACCCTGTCCAGCCCTCCGGCCGCCCAGGCCTGGCTGACGTCTCTCCCTGGGGTGGGGGCGGCCCTGTGTCCAGCTGGAGGAGTCCGAGTTCACCTGTGCCGCAGCCGTGAAAGCTCGGAAGGCAATGGAGGTGGAGATCGAAGACCTGCACCTGCAGATTGATGACATCGCCAAAGCCAAGACAGCGGTGAGGAGCCGGGGTGTGTGGGCCGGGCTCGGGGAGCGGGGGGAGGGGGGAGCTGAGGGAGAGTAGAGCGGGGACAGACAGGGGCCCTTCCCCAGCCAGCTCCCTTCACACCAGGGCTTTCTGCAGGGAGAGCGGGCCTCCCCTCCTTCGCCTCTCCCCACTCAGAGCAGAGGCCCAGGAGAGGGGCGAGGTAGAAGAGGGAGCCAGCAAGGGCCCATCTCCCTGTTTAACCACCTGCCTGTGGGAGCTTGGCCACAGGCCTTGACACCATAAATAAAGGCAGCTAATGTGGCCGAGGGATGTAAACAGGTGCCTGGAGATTAGCCGAAGCACCGATAAGAGGATGGGATGGCTCGGGTTCCCTCCCCTTCCCCTGGCCAGCCCACTGACAAGCCCAAGTGGCAGCTAATTAGAGCTCTTATTTAATGCTTCCCTTTTAATTCCCTACCTCTCCCACGGCCCATCCATCGGCCCGGGAATGCATTACTGGGATGCGGACACCAGTACCTCCTTGGGCGGGGAATGGGGCAGCGGGGAGGCTGGGCTTGGCTCTGGGCTCCACGGGCCCCCCCCACCGCCAGGCTGGTCACCCATCTGCTGAGAGATCCCAATCTCCCGGGCTTGATTTATCTCTATGACATTTGTGCTCCTCAGCAGTTTTCAGGTGAGTAATTCAAATTCTTTAATTGTGTTAAAAAAGGCTGTTATAAAATTACCATTTTATTTAAATCCGAGTTAAATTTCTTGGCGGAGGCTTCCCCAGCTCCCCACAGCCCGGTAACAAGATGGATGGGGCCGAGAAGGAGCCAACGCAGTGATTTTGGTTTGGAATTACAGGCTAATAGATTCATTCATTTCCTGAAGCTGCTGTTGGCTGTCTCCTCCCTTCCCCCCCGCCCCCAGGAGTGGACTGGCTGTGGGGCCGGATGGCTGGGGAGCAGGCCATCCCAGGGGAGATGAGAATCCAAGCCAAGAGAGCCTCGCACATTCGAGGGGTCCTTCCCCGAGGCCTGAAGGGGGCAGAGTGCATGCAGGTTAGGGCCTAGATTGCTGGTGCCCAGAAGATGGGTCATTTGTTCTGGGCAGACCTTTTCTGCCTTCTCATTAGCCTTCAAAGAGCTGCCAGGAAGCAGCTGTCATTTAGCCCAGGGTCTGCCTGTGCAGCGAAGACAGCCTTGCCTCAGCTCCCTGAGCGCCACGGGGTCTGGACCCCGCTCCAGTGGCCGTGCCCGGCCCCATCATCACCCCCTTCCCATTGGAGGTGGCGTGGGGAAGTTCAGACTTGCCACCCACTGCCATGAGGCACGCGAGGCCTGATGCCCTCTGCTCTGCCTTGCCTCCATCCAGCTGGAGGAGCAGCTGAGCCGCCTTCAGCGTGAGAAGAACGAGATCCAGAGCCGGCTGGAAGAGGATCAGGAGGACATGAACGAGCTGATGAAGAAGCAGAAGGCGGCCGTGGCTCAGGTGCCCCACCACACCCCGCACCACAGACGCTGTCCCTGTGGTCCTCTTCAGAAGCCCCCACAGGCCACTTCTTTTGGGAGCGGCAGGCCCACGGGCCCCGGCACAGCACTGGGCGTGCGATGTGGCGGGCTGGGGTTTGTGTTCACGGGGGATCCTGCTTCAGCGCTCACTCCTTTCCCAGGCCTCGCGAGACTTAGCGCAGATGAACGATCTCCAGGCTCAGCTAGAAGAAGCCAACAAGGAGAAGCAAGAGCTGCAGGAGAAGGTGGGCACCAGCATCTCCCTTGGTAGAAAGAGGGTGCGGGGTCGCTGTATGTAGGGGCAAACCCCCAAGCTCATAGGATAGCAAGTGCTCCTCTCAGTCGTCAGTAATCCACAGAGCAGCATCAACGCATGTGAAGGCCTAGGCCTGGAGCCATATCACCATAGTAGACATTTTGGCTTCAGCTGCCTCACTTCACATTTCTATTCCCTCTCTGGTCCTTGGCTTTTTCCTTTCTCTCCAAAGGGCAAAATCTGCCAGCGTTGGGCCAGGTGGGGAATGCCTCTGGCTCGGGGCCCCATCCTTCCACCTCCCCTGTGCATCCCTCCCTCCACCTTCTGGTCGAGCACCATGGTGATCTTGCCGGCCCACACTCTGCCCCCTCCCCTCGGGGCTCAGTTCTTTCTTCTCTTCCTGCCCCCACCCCCAGCTCCAAGCCCTCCAGAGCCAAGTGGAGTTCCTAGAACAGTCCATGGTGGACAAGTCCCTGGTGAGCAGGCAGGAAGCTAAGATCCGAGAGCTGGAGACCCGCCTGGAGTTCGAAAGGACCCAAGTGAAGAGGCTGGAGGTGGGTGCACCCTCGTCCTGGTCCGCAGCTGAGAACAGGGCAGAGCCGCCCCAGCGGCTGGAGCCACGCATGCTTGGCAGCTCTGGGCAGGCCGCGGCCGCTCCTCAGAGGCCCCTGCCAAGCTGCCAGGCCAGCTGACGGGGCGGGTGCCTTCCCCCCGCCCTCCCCGCCTGCTCTCTGGGCACCGTGGAGCCAGCCTGCTTTACATTCTGTTTCCGTGCTTGCTTTCTGCCAAGGGACCGGAGCAGCTTAGCTTTCTGTCTTCGTATTTTCCTCCACCATGAGCTCCCCCCGCCGGTCCCCTCACTTGCTCTCTGGCAGGGTCATAAATATGCAGCGGATGGCGCCACTTCTGTGAGGGCTGAAGTCTGTTCTCTCATCTCATCTCACCGCTCGCTTGCTCACGCTCTCTCTCCCTTCCCTTTTTTATTGCCTTTTTTCCTCACTTCTTCCCATCCTTCCTGGCTCTGCTTTTACTCCTCTCTCTTTGCTTGTCTCCATGTCTGCCCCCTTCTTTCCTGTCCCTTCTCATTTCTCCTTCTCACCCTCTCTCCACTTCTTCCTTTCTCCCCATCCCCTCCCTCCTCTCCCTCTGCTCGGCACTCTTGCCTTCGACCCTTCTCCTGTTCCTGCTCGCCCCTCTTCTGCTCTGTCTTGTTCTTCCTTCCACCCGTAATCTCCATGCTCCAAATGCAGCCCTCTCGGTTCCAGGCTCCTGACGCCAGCATGCCCAGCCCCGCCCTCTCCAATAGAGCAGGTAGGAAGAAAGAGGCAGGCAGAATTGTCTCTGGGTGAACACTCCTCTCGCCCTATTTTTAAGTTCTCCTCCCGCTCGAGCTCGTACACTTGTCTGAGCACCGACAGTTCTCCGTGAGAACTGTGTTCACAGGTGTGCGTGCTGAGGAGCATCCCTGCCGCCGCCCCAGCAGCCCCTGAGGCTACAGAGCAGGCTCCAGGGTAGGGATGGGAACAGGTGACTAGGGGGCTGACAGCGAGCATTGAGAGGACAGTAATCCCCTTGACGTAGGAAGAGAATACGGCGGAACCTCCCAAGACAAGGTCCCGGTCCTCAGGAGAGCCAGGGAGAGTTAGGGGAGACTTAGTGATGCTCCTGTTCCACCCACCACGACCCCAGGACAGTCGGTAATATTTTGATCCCGATTTTGCATGCAGGAAGGGTTAAGGAGGTTGCCTGTGGTCACGGAGCTATTGAGGCGCTGAAGAATCCGTTGATCTGGTGGCTCTGGGACAGATCTGTGCACTTGTCTCCTTTTCTTCTGGGCCTCGGACCCTTTCCTCAGCCCTGTGTCTGTATCCCTTCTGCCCAGAAAGGCAGGATTGTCCTTTAGACACACAAAATGTTAAACACAAACAGCCCTTAGAGATCACGTAGTTTAGTGCCATTATTTTAGAGACTGGGGGGCCCAGAAATGGAGACCCCAGGGCCCGTCGGTGGTCGAACCGGAAGCAGGTCCTTCCCTCACACCCTGTCCCAACCTCCAGGTCATTTCTTGCCTATGGCCTGGTAGGGAAAAATGTGTTCCAAGTTTCTGGAGGAAGAGAGATGCATCAGGCTTAGAGGGATGGCTGTGTGCTTAGACTGTGATGACTCTTTAGTCTCCTAGTCCAGGAACTCTCAACGAGCCATTTACCTCGAGCGCAGGATCTAGCTTCCAGAGCTGCTGGGTTCAGGGTGTCTGAGGGAAGCAGGGCTGACTGTGTCAGTATGGGAAGGCCCAGGCTGTAGCCAGAGCACTCCTCCAAACTTGGTAGTGATGATAATGATGATGATGATGATGATGATGGCACCTTTCAGCATGCCAGTTGCCTTCACGCACCCGACCTTATTCAATCTTTAAAAGACCCCAAGGGATGGGGCGCCTGGGTGGCTCAGTCAGTTGGGCATCTGCCTTCGGCTCAGGTCATGATCCAGGGTCCTGGGATCGAGCCCCACGTCGGGCTCCCTGCTCAGCGAGGAGTCTGCTTCTCTCTCTCTCTCTCTGTCTCTCTCTCTCTCTCTCTCTCTCTCGCTCTCTGTTGCCCTCTACCTCTCCCTCCACTGCTCATTCTTTCTCTTTCTCAAATGAATAAATAAAACCTTAAAAAAAAAAGACCCTGAGGGAGTAGGTGTTGTTCTCCCATTTTATAGAAAGGCAAAGGAAGCCTCTTCAGAGGGCTTTTGTTCTTGCCCAGCCACTAGTGAGCGGTGGTGCCAGAGCTGGACCCCAGGCCTCCTGACTCCGGAGCTCAGAGTCAGAGCCTCCTCCCTGTCCCGGCCTAGCTGATGGGCCTCTCTTCCCCACCTCCCTGTCCAGAGCCTGGCCAGCCGGCTCAAGGAAAACATGGAGAAGCTGACCGAGGAGCGAGATCAGCGCACCGCAGCTGAGAACCGGGAGAAGGAACAGAACAAGAGACTGCAGCGGCAGCTCCGGGACACCAAGGAGGAGATGGGCGAGCTCGCCAGGAAGGAGGCAGAGGCGAGCCGCAAGAAGCACGAACTGGTAATGCAGCCCAACCCGCTGGGGGGCCCCCCACCCCCACCCCGGAGCTGAGTGGTTGTTATGCACACACCTCCCCGCTAGGCGGGTGGGGGGCGGACCACAAAGAAACCGGAGTTTAGATCATGGGAAGAAGAGGAACGTGGCAAGGAGACGGTCCAGGAAGTCCCGAAGGCAGGCCCAGGGCCAAGGGTGGGACCCGAGTGTCCATCCAGCGAGCCCAGGCTTGCAGCAGCCTCCACAGAGTTCCTGCCTGGCTGGGAGACACTTGAAGCCGGCTTTTTCTGGAGCACCTGGATGAGAGACTAGCCATCCGCTGAACTGGACTGCCTACTCTTCTGCCTAGGAGATGGATCTGGAGAGCCTAGAGGCTGCTAACCAGAGCCTGCAGGCTGATCTCAAACTGGCATTCAAGCGCATTGGGGACCTGCAGGCCGCCATCGAGGACGAGATGGAGAGCGACGAGAATGAGGACCTCATCACCAGGTGAGGGGGCCTCTGTGGCAGCGGCGGCCCGCACCAAGGGCCTCTGACCACCTCTGGAGCAGGCCATGAGGCAGAGCAGCCGCGACCTCTGTCTCCCTGCCACCAAGCCACCAGCCCACCTTTCCCTCATTGCCAGCCCCCAGCACGGACCCTGTCCTGTATTGACCGAGGGCAGGACAGGTGCCCCCTGGCTGAGACGCCCTCCCTCTTCCTCCCTGTCCTCCCTCCCCGAGGCCTCCCAGGAACCTGGCTCTCCAGCTCTGCCTGCTCACGATGAGTTATTCCCCCGTTTAGCTGCATTTCCGATGGTGCCTGTCCCACTCTGGGGAAAGCAGAGATTTAAGGCCGGTGGTGCCTTGTTACCATGCCAGAGATTCTCTCTCATAAAACCCACCCAGGGAATGGTTCAGGAGAGAGAGAGAGAGAGAGAGAGAGAGATTTGTAGCCTGAGGCTGAGGAAGAAGTCACAGGGCAGGTAGACCAGTAGCTCTGGGGGGTGAGGGTCGGGCCCTGGAGAAGCTCCCAGGGCTGCCTTGGACAGAACCCCGGCCCCCCAGACCTGCCCCCTTCCCGAGCGAGCGCTGGTGCCCCATCCTGCAGGCAGGTCCCGGCCCACACAGGGAGCCTGCTCCTTCGGGGCAGGAAAGCGGTGCCCCAGGGCAACCCAGACCTCCCTCCGAAGACAGCACTGCCACTGCTCCCACCCCACCCCCAGCGCGTCTCAGCCAGGCAGAGCCATCTCTTGCTGAAGAAAAAGGGGTCCTCAGCGGAGAGGTCCACCTTGGTTTACCCACTGATTTTTCGGTCTTCTTCTTCTGGCCCTCTTGCCCACCATTTTCTTTCTGTTTCCAGTTTGCAGGACATGGTGACAAAGTATCAGAAAAGAAAGAATAAACCGTGAGGACTGGAGCGCACGCGCTCTCTGCCTCTCCCGTGGTGTCTAACCGCCCCTAACCCTGGCTCCCACCCAGGGCCCCTGCTGCATGCCGCACGTGGACACAGCCTCTCACACCTTCTCCGAGCTAGTTCCTCGCTAACACTGCTGGCTCTGTCCTGAGGAGAGGCAAGGCGAGGGGCCGGGCCCTGCGTCGAAGGTGGAGGGCAGGCAGTGAGGCGTGCTCACGCCCTGGATGGGCAGGATGGGGGCTCCCACAGAAAAGGGAGCTCAGCCTCAGTCTGCCTTCCTGAGCTCCAGCCCTCTCCCCCCTCAGAAAGCAGGCAGAGCTGCCTCCCCGGCCTGTTTCCCCGGGGGAAAATCTGACTGGGCTGGATTTGTCCACATCCTGGGGCTCCTTTGGAGCCTACACCGCCCGAAAGAAGCGGGCAGCTTTCGTTTTGAAAAGGTCCACCACCTTCCTGTGGCAGACGAGGGTACGAGGTGCGGGGCATCTAGCAGTTCCTTGTCTGGAGAAGGCACCCAGCCAGCCCGTCACGGGCCGCTCCGCAGGGGCAGGCGAAGGGAACCCAGCCCGACGGGTTTCCTTTGCTCCCCTGCGGGCACCTCGGGCAGAGGGAGGCCCCGGGCCCTTGTGCTGGTGCTGTCCTCTGTCAGGTGGTGGGGAGCCCAGGAAATCCCCCCTCTCTCTTCGATTCCTTCTGTGGGTGGGAGCTGGATGGCGTGCAGAGGCCTGGAGGCGGATCAGAGTGATCCTCCGTGGAGTGGAGTTCGTCAGGGCTGTTTGTTTGAAGGTTGTTTTTTTAGCGTGGCATTGGATTTCCTCCCCCTACTCTCTCCTGCCCGGCAGGCCTCCTCCCCTGGCCGGGGTGGGCGGGCAGCAGCGCACAGGACTCCGGGAGAGCTAATGATAAATGTAATAGTGTGTAACAGTGATAGAGGGCCACTGGAGCCCGGTTGTCACACACAATTAATATCCCCCGCCGTCCTGTCTCCGTTTGTTTGTTCCCCCGCGATTCGGCTCCCAGTTAACTAATAGCACATGAGCCTGGACATATATTGTATTTGACTCAGGGTTTAATTCCGACCATTTAAAATTTCAACTGCCCCCTGAGCCTGCGTGCCCCTGGAGTTTGTTTAGGGGCCTGATTATTTAAGGAAAAGAACCTAAACACCACCTATATGCTTGAAACTAAAGGGAAGGCGAGGGCGGGCAGGCTGGCGTCTCCATCCATTCGCTGCTCTGAATGGAAGGAGGAAAATTCGTATTCTGGGTCCACGACGCTCCGTCCCCTGTGTGTTCCAGCCCTGCCATCCTTGGGCTGGAGGAGCTTCGAGGGCTGATAAGATGCGCATTTAAGATCATCTTCTAAACCACTGCCAGGCATGGGCACGTGCACGCGCGCGCACACACACACACACACCCCTGTGTGCACTCACGCAGCCGCACTGGGGCGTGCAGTCCTCACCACAGTCCCGCTGATGGCAGAGGTGGTGTGGCTCCGTGCTCAGCAGCTCTGGGCCCCAGCTCCCAAGTTATCGAGCGAGAGCGAGTAAGTGTGCTAAGGCGGGCAGAAAAATAATGTTTCGATTTACTTAGAGATACAGTTGTTATTGCCATAACCTTAATGAAAGCAGTAAACAGTGCAGTATTAAGGGAGATTTATACAGAAACACTTTTAACATGTAGACATAGATTTTGCGATGCATACAGCACCTCCTTTCTAAAGGCAATCAATAGGCTTATGAACGGGGGTGATAAATTAGAGGCTCTGAAGCTAGAGAAGGAGGTTTTTTGCAGGGGTGTATAAATCAGGTGGTATTGGCGTTCCGTGGGGCCCGTGCACCACAGTAAATCTGCCAAGCTCGGACAGGCACGGGGCTTGCATTAGTGGTTTCGGGGCTCTCTGCTAAACTCCCGTTTACCCGGGGCATCAGCCAGCCTCGTCCTTGTTATAATTCTGTATCTGATGGAAGCCCATAAAATATGCCTCTTTGTTCCCCTCCCAATGGGTCATGCTCTCTCACAGTCCCCAGAACGGAGTCTGGTGGTTTCCTCTGTGTGTGTGTGTGTGTGTGTGTGCACGTGCATGCACACACACGCACGCCTGTATGGCTATTTATTCAAGAACATAATTCAGGAATGGGGCTGCTCGTGTTGACACAGATGAAAGGAAATTTATATCAAGGAAAATTAGCATCTCCGTAGCAGGGGAACGTGGGAGCAGACATTTTGCAGAATTCTAGAAGCATTCTCACTCAGAAGCTGTCCCTAAGCCCCCGCTGCTTTGTGAAGGAGTCACCACGACTCCAGCTTCCAAATCGGACTCCTTGGGGCTTTTCTGCCGGTAGAGAGGGCTCAGGCCAGCTTGGCCAGATGCACAACTGAAGAGCAAGGGCTAGAGCCTGCCTGACGGAGGGAAGAGGAGCCTGGGAGAGACAGAGCCATTGTCTGGGACTTTCTGGGGCTCAAGTGGATCTCCAGGACGCAGTTTGAATCCCAGAGCCGTTGCCAGCACCTCAGGAAATGGCGGATGCCCCCTCCTCACCCTTCTGTTTCTTAAGGGCCAGGGAAGTCGCAGGGTGGTCTGGGATCTGGCCGGTTGCACTCAGCGTGGCCATCAGCCAAGGAGCCTCCAGTTCAAGCTAACTGAAGGCATAACGATGCCCTTCTCTCCCCCCCACTCCACCCCCCATGGCCCGCAGTCTGGCTCTCACAGCGAAGGCTCGCGAAACGGCCGCAGCTGTGGCCACATTTCTGGGAGTGGGCAGACAAGAAACGGAGTAGGCCTCAGGAATTAGCATATGGCCTGGGACTGGTCTTTTTAACCAGCGGCCATTTAGCTGGAACTCCTAAGTGGATGGTTTCCCTGTCATCCTCATTGGGTTTGTTTGGCTCGATAGCAGTCTGTCACAGAAAGTCGAATGGGAGGTGCCTCTATGCTCCTCAGGGTCCTCTTGGTGGCTATCATTAAGTGTGGCCTGCTGAGTGGGGCAGGGTCCTCGTGAATGGGGCGCCCCATCTAACCTCCCTTGTTCTGCTCCCTGACTCACTGATATGCATGCCACCCCGCATCCCACCCCCCACCTCAAGGCAAACCTGCTGCCCCTTCAGCACTCCCTACTGGGCCTCGGGTGAGCTCTTCCTCCCCAGCCTTGCCTACCTTTCTGCTCCTCATCCCACAGCGAGGGGGATTCCGATGTGGACTCAGAGCTGGAGGACCGGGTCGACGGGGTCAAGTCATGGTTGTCAAAAAACAAGGGGCCTTCCAAGGCAGCTTCCGATGATGGCAGCTTGAAGAGTTCCAGGTGAGCACGTGGCCTTGAGCTGGGAGGAAAAGCCACCCCATGCACCAGGGATAAAGGAGCAGTGCCTCCATCCCGGAGAGGCCAGGCCTCTGGTCCCGGCGTCTCTAGCCTGGCATGTGTATGCGGGGCCCAGGCATGTCCCCAGCATGAGGAATGAGCACGGGAGGCTCAGTGTCTCCTTAGTCAGGGTCTGCGGCACCCTTGTTTTTCCCAGGTAATGGTTTCCTACCAGGCTCGGGGCTTTGGTTTGCTGCAGGTTTGACTTCATCCCCACTTACTCATTCAACAAATGGTGGTTGAACCACCAGAAAGTTTGGGGCCCGGAATCAAGACTGGAATGGGGCATAAGGAGTCTCTGGACCCCACAACCCTGAACAGGGTTGGCTCGGGCCGGCTCTGGACCTCTGAAATCTTAACGGGACGAGCAGCAGAAAAGGCACTGGTCCCCCTGACTCGCCTATCATAGCCACATTGCTCTTTCTCTGCCCATTCTCTCCTTCCTCTGCCCATTCTCTCCTTCCTCTGATCTTTTCACCAGGTCCCCTCACCGCCCCCCCCCCAATGCTTCCTGCTCACACCCATCCCCTGCAAGAACTCATTCCCCCTTTGTCCAGCCAAGTCCGTCTTCCGATCACACAGACAGCTCCCCCTGGAATCCAGCTTCACGGTCCCCATCCCTCACTGCCTCCCAGTTTCTCCCCAAATCAGAGCCAACCTGATCCCCGCCCCCCCCCGCCCCGGGCATACCCTTCCCCACCCCCCTCCCAGAGTTAGCGGGTAGGCTGGGTTGACAAGTAATACCCCCCTCCTCCCACTCCCCTGAGGCCCCTTCCCAAGTCCAGCCCCTCACTCACCACCAGCACGGCGCAGCCCCCTCTAATTGGTTTAATTTATTCAGCCAAACAACATTTTGTTACCGCAGATAATGCTGCCTTCCCCGCCCCACTGCCGTTCACCGCAGCGTGGCACAAGGCTCCAGGTAGTTGACAATGAAATAAATTGAACTAAACGTTTTAGAGGGGGAAAAGTGATGAAATAGAACAATGGTCTAATTTACATGACATTCTCCATGAAGCTATTTTCACGGACGCAAATTATTTTGCTTCATTTCCTCCGATGCTCTCACTGCCACTTTGCCGGGTGCTGCTGGTTGCTCCCTTTGCCTCCCTCCCCCTGTGTCTTTATTCCCTGAGTTTCATACAGGCTCCTCTCTCTCTCTCTCTCTCTCTCTCTCTCATTCTGTCTGTGCTGCCTCTAATCCACTGCTGGTTCTCTTTCCGGCCTCACCTCCCTCCCCTAGAACGGCCCTCAACAGCTCCAGCAAAGAGGGCAAGGGGGTGGAGGAGAGACCGGCCTCGGCGCTGAGCTCCCTGAGCTACCGGAAACGGCTCACCCTGAAGGACTCCATCGGGGGCACCGGGGACGAGGACTCGCTCTTCACCACCCTGAGCGAGCGGCCAGCCTCCCCCGAGAGGCCCCCCCGGAAGACCCACACGCGCCCCAGGGAGGAGCTGGACGAATGCCGCTCCGCCGGCTCCGAGGCCCGGAGCCGCCCGGGCCGCCCGGGCCGGGGGCTGGAGAAGCGGTGGGGCTCCGACTTCGACCGGGCCCCCACAGTCTCTGCCCCCACCAGCCGGGCCTCCTCGGCCACGCGGCGTGGCTCTGGTGAGGACGGGGCACGCTCGTCCATGAGCTTCTCGCTCTCGGGCTCCCCCAGTTCGCGGCACAGCGCCTCCCGGCTCGATACCCTCTCCAGGACCCTCAGTCCTTCCCTGAGCCGGGCCTCGGGCCTGGGCCGGGACAGCCCCGATTCCCGCCTGTCCCTGGGCCAGAGCTGCCTGGATGCGTGGGACGACCGAGCCAGTGTGGCCTTGAGCGAGGCCCACTCCCAGTACAGCCACCCGTCACTGGCCCGCAGTCTGTCGGTGCCACCGCGGCCCCGCGGCTCAGCCTCTGCCACGGACGAGCCTCTCGGCTCCGGCATCCGCCCGGTCAGCCGTCACTCCTACCTGGACCCCGACCTGGAGGCCGCCATCAATGAGGTCTTGAGCTACAAGCCCGTAACGTTCCAGAGGAGCAGCCTGGAGCCCGACTCGGAGGAGGACGACCGGAAGAGCATCCAAAGTGTCCGCAGTGCCCAGCTCGAGCTCCCGGCGCGGGCGGCCAGCATCCGCCGCTCAGCCTCGGCCGCCGATGTGTCCCGGCCCCGCAGCAGCCGCAGGGGCCGGGGCAGGAGACCGAGCAGCTCCAGCTCCAGCTGCAGCTCCGAGGAGTCCTCGGAGCACAAGCGGCGGAAGAAGGGGCGCTCGCGAAAGAGCAAGAAGAAATCCAAATCGAGAAGGAAGAGGACGGAGAGCGAGTCGGAGTCTTCGTCGACCTCCAGCGGCTCCACCGTGTCAGGCCACAGCCGCTCGAGCGTGAAGAAGGGCCCAACTGCAGAAGCGGAGGAGGCAGGCCGGGCCGGCCGGCGGTCCCGGCAGTCTCGGAAGGAGGAGAAGAAGCGCAAGAAGGAGGTGGACAGCCTGATGATGCGGTACCTGTACCGGCCCGAGAGCGACTAGAGTAGTAGGTGGTGCCTGGCGTGGAGCATGGAGTGTGCAGCTCGGTGTGAACTAACGTGCTCCCACCCCACCCAGGCCACGACCAGCGCCTGGCCTCCGGGAGCTTTCTGGCTACCTTGGAGAGTGGGGCCGGTCCGTCCTGAGCCCTGAGCCCCGGCGACCGATCCTGCTGAGGATGGCCGGTCACACTTACTAAGTCCCTACCATGAGCCAGGGGCTCCCCTAGATATTCGCCACACTGTGTTCACCTAATCCTCAGACTAACTCCGGAACAGGCCTGATGAGCCTCACTTTACAGGAGAGAAAGCTGAGGCTCAGGGAGGTGAAGTCACTTGCCAGGGTCACACAGTTGGGAAGTGATGTTGCTGGGATCTGAATGGAGTCTATTCAACTTGCCCTTGACCACTCCTCCAAACGGCCCAAGGCAGAGCACGGGGGTGACATGTTTACTGTGTGTGCCTGGCAGCACCAATATGGGAGATTTGTCCATGGCCCCGACAGGTTGGTCTCGGGAAAGGGCTCTCGCTGCCCGCACCCCCCCACCCCCCGCCCTGGGTATGAGTTGGTACGTTAGTGACCATCATCCATCGTGAGGCCTTTTGGCTCAGCTCTCCCCTGCCCTGCAAAGCCACCTTTCAAGCCTCGGGGTGCAAGGCTCACAGGGCCGCAGCCCCCACAGTACCACACCCTACATCAAACCCCGAAATGCCTAACTCCTTCCCCCCACCCTCCCACCTGAAGCCCACACATGGGCGTCACCTCGTCTCAGCACATCTTAAAATGTTATAATGAATAGAAATTAGCAGCTGCTGACTGACAGCCCCCTCCTGGCTCTCCTGCCTCCGCCAGCCTTCTCTCTGTGGGAAGAGAGATCTAGTAGTTAGGCCCTTCATGCCCACACTCCCATCTCAGAAGAAAGGCAAAGACTGACTCACTGGAATCCCATTGTTGCCAGTTTCCCTGGTGGGTGGTGACATTTGGATCACCCTGGTTATGTGAAGCTGTTTTCGGCGTGGTACCTCCCAGGGCAAGCTTGCTGCTTCCCAGGAGATATGACCCCAGAGTGCAGCCCCCTGGGGCATGGGCACTGCATGAACTAACACATACCTGTCGCATGCTTGTGGGCCTCTTGTGCCATGGAGCACCTGAACAGGTACACTGACCTGGCGGAGTTCTCTCCAAAGGGACCAGTTACGTTTTAAGAAATGGACAGGTAGGAGTGAATGTTACCTGCAGCTATTTGGAGATGGGTGCAGGGATGGGATTAGGAGGATGGTGGGGAGAAGGAGGAATTTAAAAGTTGTATTTATTCATTTGAGACACAAAGATACAGAGAGAGGGAGCATGAGCAGGGGAGAGACAGAGGGAGAGGGAGAGGCAGAAGCAGACTCCCTGCTGAGCCAGGAGCCCGATGCAGGGCTTGATCCCAGGACCCCGGGATCCTGGGGCACCTGAAGGCAGACGCTTAACCATCTGAGCCACCCAGGCAGAGAAGGTGGAATTTAAACCCAGATCAGGCTCATGGCCATCTCAGACTCCTCGGACCCTGAGCTGCTCTGACACCAAGCCCTTGGGCTCAGCACTGCTCTGTCACTCCCCCCATGTGGCAGATGGGTGCAGGGTGCTCTGGGAAGAGCAGGAAGCATCTTGGTTGCACTAGGGAGCAGTTGTCAGCCCCACAGTGAGAAAAAGACAGGAGTCACAACATTGTGTTTACCGCCTCAGCCTTCCCCTCAGCAGCCCTGCTGAGTGCCCTGCTCCCCCAGCGCAGGAAGTCAGTCGATAGGCCAGGCCCTTCTGAGCGCTGCACCCCTTCCTGAAGAGGAAGAGAGGCATGGGCCTAGCTGGGCCATCCCACGCTGCTCAGCAGCTTGCATCTCAGACCCAATGCTCTCAGCCCAGCGTCACCCTTGACCCTATGACCAGCAAGGACAAAAACCCACAAAGCCTGTTTCTTCCGCCAGCCACCTGCACTGTTCCTCTTGTCCACCAGAAAAACAAGAGTAGTCCTGAAACTCTACACGCCACCACCGAGGAGGATTGGGTTCACGGCGGGGAGAGCGGGCACCGAGCCGAAGCTAGCCAGCCGATAGCAAGCCGGCTAGAGAAGGGCCAGGGGAGGGAGAACCTGGCTGGGCTCTGGGGAGCTAAACTGCCAAGCATGGGGGGACGGGGGGGGCAGAGCGGTGGCTTAGCTTCCCATCTGGCGACAGGGACCGGTGAGAATTCAGAAGGCGAACTCATCCATAGCAAAGGCAAGGAGAGGGGGCTGCCACCCTGGGCTCACCCAGCAGGAATTAGCTTATACACCAAATTGTTTGTGACAGCGTTTCGCAGGAGACTCCGGCTTCTGGGGAGGAAAGCTTTTTGCACAATTTGGTTAAAACGTTCGAATTGCCAGCCCTGAGTCTTGCCCTGGGGAGGGGGCTAGCTGCCTGCTGTTGACTACAGCTGTGGCACCAGAGAGCCTGGCTTGTAGCACACCCGGCTAGAAGCAAGGGTATCTTGCAGCTCCGCGGAGCAGGGGAGAGGAGCATGGAGTCGGCCCCCCTCTCCGGCTGCCTCCGCCCCTTGCCAGCACCCGGATGGAGCAGTGTCGGAACCTGGCTGTCATTTATCCAGGCGTCTGCCTGCTTGGCAGGCACAGGAATGTGGGAGTGGGGGCCACAGCCCCACTCAGGAGAGGCGTGGGAATGGAAAAGAGCTCAGATCGACCCTACCCCGCGGTGCCCCGTCTGCATCTGGGTCCCAGTCCTGGCATCTGCCTTGCCCCCCGTCTGCCCCCAAAATAACCCTGCTGTTTTTCCACAAAGTCAGTCCTTCCTTTACCCAACAGGAGACCTTAGCACTTGGGTGCCCAGAAATTCTGTCCAAAAATTGAAAATAAAACCAGGCTCCCACTAATTTAGAATTCAAACAACCCAAAAGCTAAAATAACCCCATTTTTTTCTATGTTGCACAGTCATCATTGAGCTTTATAATTTTGTCCCTGAGACACCCTAGAGTCCTTAAGTGCCTTTGGCCCATCAAAGTAAGACTCATTTATGTTCAGTCTAGTTTGTATTAAATGTGTTTTGTGCTATTCTGATTCCTTTAAAAATGGTAATTCATTCATGAGAAATATGATAACTATTAACCAGACTGCCCCATTCCTGAACCATTCTGCATAATTGAACATGTATTCTATCAGGCTCTTCCTTCTCCCCAGGGAGACAGAGAGAGAGAGAGAGACCTATCTTTACACACCCCCTGGGCTCTCACCCAGGCAGGCAGGGAACATTCAGGTTTGGTTGTGTTTTCTCTTCAGGTCACCCAATCTAGCAGCAGGGTGGAGTCAGCAAAAGGCTTTGAGGTCTAAGAGTCCAAGTTCAAATTTACATACTGGCTGTGTGACCTTGAGCAAGAGGCTTCCTCTCTCTGAACCAGCTTCCTGGTGACATTTCATAGGGTTGTCGTGAAGAGTAAGATGCCTGTGGTGTGCAGGGGACAGTGTCTCACACACAGGAAGTACTCCGTAGCCAAACCCTTTCTTCCCAATACAGTTGGAAAAGCTAAGAATGTGGGTCTTTCTTGCAGAATACTGTTTCCGCCTCTTTTGGTTTGGGGATAGAAGAACTTCAAAGACGCCAGTAAACAAGGTCCCCCCTGAGATTCTTAAAGCAGAGTTGGGGGTAGAGGGATCACCGAATTCCTGTTTATCCCAGGGGAAAGTCTCTGGGATCTGGAAGAAGAGCTGTGTCCCTGGGAGCGCGCTGGGCAGGAACTCTGGGTGCAGGGCATTGGTGGGGGGGCACTCTGGGCTGCATTTTGTTCAGAGGGCTGAAATTACGGTGCACTTGAACCAGCAAGGTAGCAGAGGTGGGAGGGGCAGGGGCAGGCGGCTCTAAGGCTTTGGGAAAGAAAGAAAAAATGTGACTGGAGCAGGAGGTTTCCATCCTTGCTCAATGCCAGGAGCCTGCCCCATCCAGGGGATAATGTTCCTTCACATCCTAGTGAGGGGAAGCTGTAGGCTCCCAGTGGCCTGAGGAAAACTCTGCAGGGTTGGGTTATGGTACCAAGAAAGGGACGACTGTGCCATCCTGAAGCAGAGATCTAGCCAGTCCCTACATCCTTAGCCTCCTTTCCTTGTGGTGAGTAGATGATGCCATGGTCAAGGGCAGAAATGCTCACAGGCCTTAGGAAAACAATGAGGAGAAAGGGTTAAGGTCTGGGAGTATCCAGTGGGGAAAGCCCCTCCCTCTTAGAAGGAATCCCGTTTAGGGATAAGGTAACTTTGGCAGGTTGTAGCCAGGTAATCACCAGCCTGCCAGTCTCCAAGTCAGTGTGGTCCAGGGACCACCTGCATCAGAATCTTCTGGGGAAGAATTGAAAATGCAGAATTCCTCGGTTCCACCCAAAAGCTAACAAATCAAAATTTCTCAGGGGAAGGATGCAGGAGTCTGTAGCCAATTCTTAGGCATACTCAAGATTGAGACCCACGGCTCTACCACATTGCTTTCCAGGGAGTTTCAAAAGTTTTCAGAATCAAGACAATGAGCTCCTTTCCCTCACTACTCTGCATATCTTCTGGGGAAGTGAGGAATTGAATTTACTTCTCAATTTGTGGCTTTTGGGGAATGCTATGACGGGGCTTTGGGAGCCTCCCCAGACCCAAAGGCTTTGGTGCTGAGGGTTAAGGGCATCGTTCCGCCGTGACCTTGCTCCTCCTCTCTCCCCGCAGCCCTACCAGCTACTGGAAGTCCCTTGCCCCTGACCGGTCAGATGATGAGCACGACCCTTTGGACAGCACCTCCAGGCCGCGATACTCCCATAACTATCTGAGTGACAGCGACACAGAGGCCAAACCGACAGAGACCAACGCATAGCCCAGGGGAGTGGTCTGTACCTCTTGCACCCACCGGCCACCGCGGCCACGGCGCCTCTCCCAGGAAATGGCGGGGCAGAGGTCTCCGCCACCTGACTGCTGATCTGCATGGGAAACACCCGGCCCCCTTGGGTCTGGGGGGCTTTCCAAGCTGTGGGTGTCTGACATCTCCACGTGGAAGAGGTGGTGGGGGAGTTTCTGAAAAGAGAACTTTTTGCTCCTTCTGCCTCCAAAATGCCACACTCTGTGGGCAGTGGCAGGTGGCTTGGCACTGCATGGAGCCAGCAAGCTGACCTCCATCTCAGCCTCCTGCTCAGGGACGGTGGGCAGATTGCCTGCTGGGACACTCTAGGTTGCTGGGTCCATGGGGAGGAGTTGGGGGGGGGCAGGAACGGCCATTCCTCCCCACCCTGGCTTGGGGCGAGGGCTTTCTCTTCTCAGTGCCTGCTGTCTTTTTACTTTTAATTTAAATACCCAACCTCTCCATCACAGCTGCATCCCTGAGAGTGGGAGGGGGCTGTGGTGGCAGCTGGGGTTTGCGGGAATGACTAGGGGAATCTCATCTCCATCTTCACTGGAGAGCAGTCCTTTCTCTGCGCAGCTGGAGAGACCGGTGAGCGGAGCTGGGGCCAGATTCTTCAGTCAGCCTGGGGAGGGGCTCTCAGGTGCTTCTGGGTATGGGTCGAGCCAGCCTACGTAGGGGTGCGTATGTATCACCCGGCACTTTCGGCCCCCGCCCCTCTCCGTCTCATCAGTGTGTTAAGTGCAATGACCTACTTAAGACTAAACCCATTCCACCTACACCAGGTCGGGGCTTACCCAAGCACTGCCTCCCTGCCGCTCTGTCCAAGTTGCCTGGACTATAGGCCCAACTGGAGAGGGAAGGCCGCGGGTTGAGGGCTTGTGATCAGAAAAACTGAAGATGGGGGTTTGGGTCAGTACTGATGCGTATTAGACACAAGCCCTCACCCTTGTCCTGAGCCGGAGTCATTTTTCTTCTTCCAGTTGCCCTGCCCCCACACACTTACCCTAGACATGACAACGTGTGGCCTGACAGTCCCAGCCCCCACCCTAAAGCTCATCCCACCAATGCCACCAGACTTGGGGGCCTGAGGGCAGTGCCTGGTGCCGCTCCCATCCGCTGTCCCCCCCCCCCCGCCCCCTGCAATTGGTTGTATTCATTGGGCTGTGCTCTCTCTTCCCTGTTTACCTGATGTATGGAAATAAATGTCCTTTTCCTCCTGGCTCTGCCAATTTTCCTGCCTGTTCCTTCAGGCTCAGGTAAAGTCCTGGGTGGTCCCTGGGGAGCACAGGATTCTGGTGGGGATGGGGGAAAGCGCCAGGGTCGCTGGCCTACTCCCACACCAGACCAGTGCCACTCAGAGCTTTGGAAGGTCATTTGGGGCAGGCAAAGGTAGTAGGATGAGAAGATTGGTCAAGGAAGACAAACCCCGTCTTTTATTTTAAAAGCCTGTGAATTGTAATCAGGCAGAACCATCCACATTGCATCCTCTCCTGACCTCCACTCAGAAATGTTGAGGTCCCTCTGATTATTAAATCTTACCAATTACAGAGATCCTATCTCTCTCTCTTTTTTTTTTTTTTCTTGAGGGATGCAAGTCCTTCTTACTAGAAAAAAATTTTAGGTTTAATTTTAGTCATTCCAAATATGACTTTTTGATCAAAACATGGCGGAAGTCTCTCTGGCCCCCAGCCCCATTGTCCACAGGGCAACATGAGTAGGCTGGGAGTTCTGGCTTCTTTGCCCTGCTCAGTCTCTGCCTTCGTGCCTCAGTCCACACTTGCTCTGCTCACTGACAGCTAAGAGGCAGCTCTTGGAGAAGGGCAAGAAACAAATGGCCCCTCCTCCTCCTCTACCTTCTGTAATGTGACCAGTTATAATCCCTACACGCATAAAGTTTCTTTTATAGCTGGTCAATCAGGCTCCCCTGGTTTGTACAGGTAGGCAGGAAAGGGTATCAGACAGCCCTAATGCCAGTGCTCTGGTGATATCAGCCACCCAGAAAGGGTCAAGAAAGGGAAGGAGGGAGGAGAGTCCCCCAGAATGAGTGGGAGAGGAGTGTAAAATGGATCCAACTTGAATGAAAGAGACTTCCCCTCTCCACTGCCCCCCCCTCCCCCTGTTGAATAGCGAAGGTAGTAAAAGTAAAGTTACTTTTTTTTTTTTTTAACTGCTGGCTCCTCGTGTTCATCTTTTACTCGTGCTTTCAGATAGGAGGGTGCATTTTCTGTTTCTCCCAGGAACTAGTGTGACAACGTCCCTCCCATCTGCAGACAAGACCCCAACTCTGGACCCACAGTGACACAGGTCTCTGCTTAATTGGAAAGAGCATCATCAGTATCCAATAGTCTGGGGCAGAGTGCTTTGTTCAAGTCAGAAAGCTTATGTTATTCATTGATTCATTCACTCGACAGTCAAATATTTCATAACTGCCAGCTGTGGCCTAGGCCCTGTTCTAAGTGCTGGGGACCGATGAGTCTCCTTCCTTCGTAAAGCAGAGATTCTAGTGGAGAAGGTAGACATACAAAATAGGGACTGCGCCTACTAATATGTGCAAGCTTTGGGTGAGTAGAGAGATGCAAATTACAGTGTTTGTCATCTAGGGGCTCGTGGATCGGGGCAGACCCACGTGGAAATAATTACATGAGACATAACAGAAGGAGAGGAAGTTGCTTTGCACATATTATGGGGGGAGGTTAGGGGGGGCGGTTTCAGGTGGAGGAGGACAGGAAGGCTTCTAAAAGGAGCTGGTATTTTGAGCTGGGGCTTGAGGAAAGGCTAGCACTTCCACAGGTGTACCGGAAAAAAAGAAGAGCTTAAGCAAAGGCCCTGAGGCAGGGAAAGAAGGGTGGTGGTAGGGATCTCCATGGGCCGTCTAAGGAAGCTGGACATGGCCTCTCAAGACCGACACTTGAAGTTGCAGCAAAGCCCCTTGGCCGGGATGCTAGGCTCCAGGGAAGGACGCGATTCCCTCAGCACCAACTCCCCAGGGGAGTCCAGGAGCCTGCGGGTCCATCAAAGCCCAACTACCTTTTGGGTGTGCCTTCAGAGCTCCGTAAGCTCCCGCCCTCACCTGTATACTCATGGCAGCTCTGGTCCCTAAGATATAAATGATTCTCGCAAAACAGGCAGCAAATCTGTCCCTGTGCCAGGCACAAAGCTGCCTCGACAGATTCTCCTCTCTAATCTCAGACCCTCAGGACTGCTCTGACTCCTGAATGAGAGGTGAGGACCAAAGCCCTGTGAGGCTCCCCACGGTGCCCAGCCTATGCCCAGAGACAACAGCGGCCCACAGTGACTCCTGAACTACCTCCTTTTGTCCTGTGTCCTCTCGGCAGATTATCCTAGTTGTCCCCCCCATGCCCCACCCCCATGCCTGGTGGCACAGACACTTAGCGATTTGCTCCTTAATTGTCCCCCAGCTAGGCTGCGCAGATGCCGCTCTTTAATCTCTCCTGATAAATGAATCGCGCCGCTCCTTTAATCATATGTTCATATCCAAGCCAATTTGAATCAATTTGGCAGTGAGCGTGTTGCAAGAGATGCCATGACTGCCGCTTTCCCCGCAGGGCCCCAGAGCCAGCCCGTCTGCTGTCCTCATCCTCAGCGAAGAGCCCAGGGGGCCTATCGGGGAAAGGATCTCCTACCCGAATGGTGGGGACTTTTCAAAGTCAATCATTCATTCCTGTCCTCCATGCTGGGCCCTGGGGGACTAGAGGGAGCTGGGTTTCCAAGGGCCTCCACGTGGGAGGGAGGGGGCTGAGTCCGCCGGCAGCCCTCCTTGGTCACTGAACAAAGGGCCCCATTGTCATCCCTGGGAGAAAGCGCTGCCTTAAATCTAACCATAATCCTCCTGTTCCCCTTTCATTTCCTCTGAGCTGGTTCTCCTGGAAGCTGGAACTCTTGCTCACCTTCTACATAGCAACACATTCCAGACCAGCTTAGGCTGATTTGTCCTTGCCTGCTGCTGCCCCTGGCAGCCACCCCAGCTCCTTTCATCTTTCCCCAGGAAGTGTTCGATTCTAAATCCCCCAGCCTGGTGGGCAGTCGGGGACCTGCTTGGCAATGCACCAAGTTTTGCTGCATTCGGAGCTGCCGCTTTCGCCCCTACACAGTGCTCGCCACGGGCCCTGGTGAAAACCGAACAAAAGCAGATAAAACCTGCTCTGCCAAGCGCTCCTGCCCCGGAGCACTGAGACCTTCGAGAAGGGGCTTGATCTCTTGGGCTCAGTTTCCTCAACTGTAAAACAAGGTGGTAGTGCTGGCAAGAACCTTCTGGCTCCTAAATTCGGAGGGACCCCTTCCCTGCTGTCCGCAACACCTCCCTCCGCCACCCCTTCATCACCCTCGGTAAGGAGCCCCAGGGACCGGCGGGCGGCGCGCCTGGGGCCGCGAGGGGCCGGCGCTGGGGGAGGGACGTCCTCTCCCGGTGGGAGTCTGTCTGTCTGGGGTTGGTTCCGTCCAGCAGCCCGGTTGCGCCTCCGCGTCCTCTTCGTGTCCCCTCGGCTCTCCCCGCGGGCTCTGCCAGTCCGGACAGGCGCCCTCCCATTCGCGGAGAGCCCGTGTATTAGCATATTCATATCGCATTTGCATGACCCGCACCTCCGCGAGGCCGGGAAGCCACTGCCCTCCAAAGGTTCTTGAGCAGGTGACTGGGGTCGGCCTTGCTCTTCAAGGATTCCCTTTGTGTGAGGACCGGTCTCCTCGCTCAGCAACCCGACAGTACTGTTTTCCCGCCTTTTTGAGGGCTCTTGGAGGTCCTTGGCAGGAGCTGGGAATGAGGGGTGCCCTTTCTGGCCTGTCATTAGTGACCCTGGGATGAGGAGGATGACAAAATCAACAATAGTTCCCATTTTGCTGAGCACCTACTTACTATGGTCCCGTATGCTGAGCATTTACTATGTCCTCTAACCTTTATCACAACCATGCAGTGTCCTCTCCCTGAGGCTCATAGAGGTGATGTGTGTCCTACCAGGGACCTCCTCTTGGTTCCAGCAAAGAGCCAGGCGACTCCCAGCTCTTCTGACCTTGTCAGGGGGATAAAGGGAGACAGGACAGTGCCAAGAATCACTGTCACGGTCGACATCTCTAATCGCCGTGTGCCTGGTATTCACCAAAGCTTGGCCTAAGTAAGGAAACACTTCTTGGCATTTTGGGGGGAAATGTCAACCTTATATTTCTGTTGCTCCTTACAATTTTCAGAGCATCCTCCATACATTATCACATTTTGTGCTTCATGCATATGGTGCCAACAATATGAGTAACAGCTCCACATGGCCCGGAATGCATATATTAAGCTATATTCACCTCAGTCTAATTTCATTACAGTATAATGGAAAAATCCAGACCGTTTTCTGAGATTTGATCTGGGAGAAGTGATTTCCAGAGCAATAGTCATTCTGGAGTTAACAAGGATGCTAGATCTTTTCAGAAGGAATTTCACAGAGAAATTAAGTCTTTTGTAGCGTCAACCCCAGTGATGGGTCATATACAAGAGGGAGATTCCAAAAAGGATGTGTGCTTTGCAATTGAAGTCAGTGACATAAATCTCCCAGTGGAATATTTAAATGTGCAGATAGAATTTGCTTTAGATATCAAAAGTCAGCAATGACAGTTTTACAAAAACAAAACAAAACCAAAAAAACCTCAAAGAGGATATTAAGATTCAACACCATCCAGGCAAATTATATTTGAGGTGGCTTAAGAGTCAAAGAGTTTCCACATTTTAATAAATTTTTATATGTTTTGTGCCACATCTATGATCTGACTAGATTAGGAAAAGAAGCAAATGGATTTTCGGAAGAGAGGACGCTAGGGAATTTGAAAGCGGAGAATCAAAAAAGAAGGAATTAAAAAAAAAAAAAACCACATACACATTCTGGTATGAGAAGATGCAGCCAATAGCCTTGGAAACATTACGTCTCTGAAAGATGGGTCAATGACCGGTAATCAGGCAAATACAAAATTGTATGCAGTGAAATAGGCCTCATGGCTCGTATTTAGTCCTGGGGACGGGCAGGTGGGAGTTGCAGGTTGGCACCTTTGCTTGAGGGCTGCTTCCGGCCCCCCCAGTACTATCCTCGGGAGAGCAAGGAAGAGTCACCCCAGGGAGTGGCACTGCCCTGGAAGTTTCTGCCCTAGAAGCACAGAACTCGTGGCCTGCCTCTGAGAGCCCTAGAGCTCATCTGTGGAGGCTACTGTTTCCAGTAGACCACATACTGAGC